CTACGAAAGTCCGTCTCATCTATGCAGGGATGAGACAGATGTATATCTGTGAAAAAGGACATCAAATACTGTTGATATTCGGCCGGGCTGGGGAACGACATGGACCGTCCGCCCAGGTGGACGAGGTGAGGAGTTTCGACGATAAAGGAGGACTCGGGGCCAGATATGGTCGACGATGTCGGGTTCGAGGGCTCTTGGGAGAAGAGGGCTGACTGGCCCATGAAAGCGAGAGCTGGATTGATGGGATCCAGTGGCGGTATAGGAAATGCAGCAGCATCACCCCCTCGAAAGCCGTCGCTGGCACCATCATCTCGCTCAACGCTGCCCATGGGCGTCATGGTCAAGCCACGGTCGCGCATCAAAGCCTCCATCATGGCCTCGACGCGAGCCATGCGCGCCTCCATGGTCATACCACGGGCGCTGGCATCGCTCGTCCGCCGCGCTGTTTCATCATGCGGCAGTAGACTACGGCGTGAGTTACTGCTGCCATTGCCGCTGGTGGTCGACGACTGGGCCTGGAGGGAGGGAGTTGGGCGACTGAGATGCTGCAGGGCCTCGGCTGCTGTCTGGTCTTCGGAAAAGAAACACCGCTTGCCGTTATCGACACATCGCTGGCAAGGGTTTTCGCCGGAGCACTGGAGAAGAGTCAGATCATGTGTGGAGGAGCTGCTGCGGTAAAACCATCAGTCGCGGAAGAGGCCGTCTCGCGCCAGCCAAGCTTGTGAAGCATTCGGAAATGGAGCCGAAGATGCACAACCATAACAGAGACACGAGCAACAGCCAAGACGTACCTTGAGCTTCGACCGTCTGCACAATACACCTACACGTGACTGTTAGCTAACAATTCTCAACTCCCACCCGTGGTGTTGCTGCCATGCGCGTGCTGTGTCGAGCGGCTACGGAACCATCGGAATGCAGCATGTGAAGCTCCAAGGATGCCGGGAGAGGTCTGATAGAGGCTAAAGGCGCGACGTACAAGCTTTGGGCGCGTATTTTTGGCGGACCTTCTTGCGCTTGGGTGACGACGACCTCCGTTCCATGTCCATATGTTGTATTGGTGAAGGATGGCTGTTCATGGCGCGATGACGAGGTTGGAAGAAGGAATGCGCTCCCCGAAGCTATTTCGGAACGCAACCGGGATTGGCCTCGCTAGCGTCATTCTGCTTGTCTCGGATGCAGCCACTTCAGCTCAGCAGGAACGCCTCATCAAAGGCATTGTTGGTATCGGATGCAGTCGTAAATGGAAGACATGCTGGATGGCTTAGGGATGTGAAATTAAAATCCCCCATGTATGCAGAAGACGTCACCAAGCCGTCTACCGAACCAGAACCCTCGTCTGGACAGCACAGGCACATGATGTGGACAGGGTGCATATAAATACAGCTATTGTAGTTTACTCTACAATGCTCACTGGGCTTGCTTTGCCCAAATAATCCGAGTCGAACTCATCGGAATAGGTCTGGTTGCTGTTTGGTTTTGTTACTTCTGCTCGCCCTCACCCAAGTTATGGCGAACATACCAACAATCTATCCATATCTAAATAACACAACAGTACAGAGAGAAGGTTGAGAACACGAAGCCAGCTCCTGTATCTGGGAACGTCAAACTGCACTGTTGTCATACGGTCGTCAATGTCATGCGCTGCAAAGTATGGAGGTACAGTATGTATCCTCACATCAGACCGCCCGGCTTTTGACGTCAATCGTCGCTTAACCCCACACACTAATGAACATGCATGTATTCTGAATTTGTGCTGTATTACAGTGGTGGTGAACCGGGTGCATGCTACGAGGATCGGCTATCGAAGCCGCGTCATATAGCAGATGATTTAGCAACAAGCAGTTAAAGCCCCGACTTTGTTCATACACTATGTACGTAAGCTCAACCCTTGTATCGGGTCACAGTCTCGCAGCTGTTCCATCACTGGTAATAAACAAGAATGCAATGGTTCAACACGAAGTCTCCTGGTATTGGGTCGGAAGGATCGAGTCCAAGCTGCCGTTACTTACCCAACGCCTGCATGGACCCGCATGTCGAATGCGCCATATTCCTATCGCATGCAATCAGCCCACTCGCTCTACCATGTCGAGTCCGCCACCACAATACGAGGTGAATTGGGGGCAGATTTACTACATTGGTGTACAACCGTCGTGAAAAGCTGTACCGTGAGTGGAGTACCTAGTAACGAGAATTAACTTTGGCATCGGCAGCTCCGTGGCTGGTGAGTGCACACCACAGGCTACTCTATAACACCATGCTCTTCCCAGTCTTCATCTCCGCCACATTGACTGCCCCACATGGCAACCGGGTGAATGTCGCGGGTTTTCATCAGATAATGATTAGATGGAAAATTTTCATCTGATAACCCGCGCGTCCCCATGCGCGCCTCTCATTGGCTAGCCGCTCCGGTCGGTGCCGGGGGAGTGATCAAGATAAGATTTTGCTCACTGGCTGGGCCGGGCTTCGGTGAGCTTAAACCCGGACATTCACCTCCCAAGGGCAAGGTTAAGCTTCACTTGCGTGCCACTAACTGCTTGAATCCATGCTCACCCTCACACCAATTGCTCTTCCCGTGCGTGGCCTGAGGCTACACGTCCATGACCCGCCAATGTTACCCACCCAGAGGCAAGGTTCTTCAGTGGACCCCGTGGAGCGCTGCTGGCTATATGAGCATGCAGCTCAGGCGAATGCTTGTTTGACCAATCTCTCCTTCTCCTCAACTTTGCTCTAGGTGTGCATGTGCACCATCCATTGTCAAGATGGGATTCAATTTCAAGGGACTGACCAGCAGTGCTATCCTCTCTGCAAACACCTCCTCCAACACTGACAACAGGGATATCGCTGATGTCCCAGCTTCCGTTCAAGGCCATACCAGCATGGAGGCTACTCGTCCTGATGAGAAGCTGGGAACTCCAAGGGGATCTTCTCTCAGCCAGAATTCTGACGAGGAATTGAACAAGGTCGATACCACTGCTGAACAGGGTGTGCAGGCAGTTCAGGCTGCCACCCTCATTTGGAAGAGGAGGGACTTGATCCTCGCATACGTCTTGTACGTCTACATTGCTGATACCATGGCTATCAAGACCAGACCCCACTAACGTCCCTTAGCATGTGGTTCATCCAGTTCTTCACTGCCTATGTATCAAGCACCTCGAGCACCCTTTCGCCCTACGTCACTAGCAGCTTCAACCAACACTCGCTGACAGCCTTGACCACTGTCATTTCCTCCATTGTCAGCGGTATCTGGAAGCTCCCTTACGCCAAGATCCTCAACATCTGGGGCCGACCATTTGGTTTATCCCTTGGTGTCTTCATATACGTAATCGGTCTTATCCTCATGGCAAGCTGCAACAATGTAAAAGCCTACTGCGCTGCTCAGACCTTCTTCTACGTCGGCTCCAACAGTATCAACTTCTTCATCACCGTCTTCATCGCCGACACCTCCAAGCTGAAGAACCGAGGTCTCTTCATTGCCTATGCTTCCTCTCCATGGCTCATCACCACTTGGGTCTACGGATACGGTATCAACGGCATCACAGCTAAGGGTGGTATTGGATGGCGCTGGGCCTTTGGCATCTTTGCCATCCTCTCCCCTATCGTCGTGTCCCCTCTCATCGTCCTCTTCGTCGTCTACGAGGGAAAAGCACGTCGCCAAGGCCTCATCACTCCTCGCCCAAGCCGCGGAAACTTTATCCAAACTGTACACTACTACCTCCGCGAATTCGATGCCATCGGTCTCTTGATCCTAGCTGCTGGACTCTCACTCTTCCTCCTGGCCTTCAACATCTACTCATACCAGGCTGAAGGCTGGAAGTCGCCTTTGATCATCTGCTTCATCATCTTCGGAGCGCTGCTTGTCATTGCCTTTGGCATGTGGGAAAAGTACGGCGCTACAGTTACGTTTATCCCGTGGCCGCTGCTCAAGAACCGCACTGTCATCTTCACATACACAATGGCTGCCTCCCTGTACATCGGCTGGTACTGCTGGGACTCGTACTTTTACTCGCTACTCGTCGTTCTCTTCAACCAGACGGAAGTCCACGCCACCTGGATTGCGAACATCTACACAATGGGCAGCTGCTTTATCTGTATTCTGTACGGTGTGGCGCTGAGGTACTACGGCAAACTCAAGATTTACTCCATGTTCTTTGGTGTGCCCCTGACTATGTTGGGCGTCGGTCTGATGATCAAGTTCCGCCAACCTGACGAGAACATTGGGTACATTGTCATGTGCATGATTTTTATCGCCTTCGGTGGCGGTGTGTTGGTTATCTCGGAGCAGACGACGCTCATGGCTGTCTCCAAGCAACAGGATTTCCCGGCTCTCCTTGCCGTCGAGGCAATGATCATCGCTATTGGAAGCGCCATTGGATCTACCATCGCCGGCGCAATCTGGACCGGTGTCTTCCCTGTTCGTCTTCAGCACAATCTACCGGCAGATGCCATGAAGGACTTCAAGAACATCTACGGCGACATGAAAGTTCAGGCCAGTTACCCGGTTGGTAGCCCTGCTCGCGATGCTATCAACCTCAGCTACGGCCAGACACAACGGTACATGCTTATTGCTGCGGTGTGCGTCTACTGCATAACTTTGTTCAGCACTGCACTATGGGAGAATGTCGATGTGAGGAAGATGAAGCAGCGAACTGTTGGTCTGTTGTAAACAGTGTTCACTTTCAGTCTTGTATACATCTGGATGAAAACTGCATATTCTAGGTTCTAAAAGTATAAGAAATTAGAAATAATCGTACAGATCATATTTACAAAAATAATTTAATAAGTTTTCCAAGTCCTTCGAAGTAAAAAAAAAGTTCCGCAGTAGATAGTCAGAAAAATGCCGTTGCTTCGATACAGTTCTTTTCTCCCTCTTTCCTTGGATAAATGAGAAGGGAGGGGGGGAATGCAAGATGCGTATGTATATGCAGGGTATAAATGCAAAGGCAGAGAGACGTTGGCCAGGCTCCGTGTAAGAGAGAACGTGCAGTATAAGTGCAAGTTGATCAAACCAACACGACAGCCACAGCCCCCAACACGGTCAAATACCCCAGCACAACCCTCACCGTACCCGCCGCAGCATTCGCGACACCAGTCTGTTCAGCCGCAGCGGCTCCGTCAGTAATACTCGACAAAACCGCAGGCGCAAGCTCGACCGTCGATGTCGTCGTCGGCGCCCCCGTCTGAATCGGTTTCGCGGGGACAAGACTCTGCGTCGACGACTGTGCTGTCGACGAGGGCGCCGCCTGTACAACAACGGGCTTGCTGGGTCGAACACTCACATCACCGGTACTCGCCTTGGCCATGCCGGCAACCCACTTTGTCACTTCGGCGTTGTGCTTGACAAAGTAGTTGAGGTGCTCGGTTACGTCTTGCGGCTCGGAGCCTACCGCGCAGATGGGGTCGCCGTAGTGGCAGTAGTCGAGGAGGACATCGGCGTATTGCGTCAAGTTTGCGAGTTGCTCGGGGGTGCGCGCGCGGGTACCGTCAAAGTCCTTTCCGCCGCCCACGGTGAAGTTTTGGTTGCGAGAGCGGGCGACGGCGCCAAAAGTTACTGCTGCGACGACTAAGTTTTTCGTTGCGTTAGCTACATGTTTACATTTACTGTTTTTTTTGGGGGGGGGGAAGGGAGATCATTACCATTTGAACCAGGAGCAACACTAGCATCTAACCCCGGATTATCGCCTTGCTCGCACTCAAACGTCGGTCCGCCGCCTCCCCCCAGCATATCCTGCGCTACGGATCCGCCCTGCGAGAACCCCAGGACGATTAACTTGCTATCCGGGCATTTCTCGCTGTATGCGCGCATCTGCTGTTGTCCGTTCTTCGCGCCTTTGGTGGCGGAATCGCACCATGACGTCTTTGACCATGCGGAGCTCTTTGAGGGGTACTCGACGTCCTCGTATCCGCACTTAGCGGTGCCGCCAATCGCGCTGCAGACTTGCTGCGTTAGGTTACCCAGACGCCCGGGATACGGTTCGTCGGACCCGCGCACGACGAAGATGTGGAAGGGTTTGCAGGCGTCTGAATTGAAGGCGAGGATCGAGGTCGTGTTGCAGTAGACTTCGGGGTATGGTGCATCGCAGCGTTTTTGGGCGAGGACGAGGCTGCTGCCGCTGAGGGCGACGAGGGTCGAGGCAAGACCGAGTCTCATGATTGCCGATGGTTTGTCTGTAGGTATTATGGATTATGATGACAACGGGCTCTTTTTCTTCTTCTCTTTCTTTCTTTTCTTTCTGGTGACAGTAGAAGGGGAAAAACGAGTGACGATGGGCTTGCTTTACTGAGCAAACACACACAACCTTGGACTATAGCACCGTACAGCAAAACAAGGTCGAGATCGGAGATGCAGGGCGTACGAAATACCGAACCAATTCTTCTCTCTTTCAAAAGAATGCAGGGTAAAAGAAAAAGAAAAGAAAGTAGTGTCAAAAGAACGAACGAAGAACTAGTAGAGTCGGTCCTACGAGAGCAAAGGGAATCAAGTCCATGATGTATTCACTCCCCTTTGAAAACAAGGCACAGCACACAAAAAGCCATGCATGTGCTCCACTCCTTGATTCCCCCCGATTGCCTTTCCTCTCTAGCCCTTTGATTTCTATACCCACATGTTGGCATATTCAAGGCGACTGCCCCCAAATTGTTGGTTGGCGGTGTAATTATCTAGCCCGATTGGGTAAAGTGCGATGTCGCCAACACGGCATGACGGCACGCCGCCAAGCATGTACGCGCCACAAAAACAGCCACACTAGGACTTGTTCATGCACCGTGTCTTGTATCGGCTTGCGCGTTCGTCTCCATCTGATCGGCTTTTCTTTTTGGTGGGAGGATTATGGGGGAAAAGAAAAAGGGGGATTTTGTGAGAATGGTGCGGCGGTTGCTCTGTGAGCTGGAGACAATGGGACATGTTGAGTGAAAGTGCGAAAAGGGCGGGTGTGGCTTGGATATGGAGGCTTAACGCCACAGTTCCTTTTTTTCTCTCTTTCTTTGTGATCTTAGAGATTGCGAGAGGACGGTTATGCTGGAGGTGATCGGGAACGTGCAGTTCGTTCCGTACCGCGGATGTGCGAATACGAGAGATTTGCTTTCAACGGCTTTCCGCGTTGCCGCCCATGGGGCTGATGGATAGACGTGTACCTTGCAGATGCTACTACTAGTTTGGGGCCTTGTTTGTTCCAGACCTTTAGGAGACGCTGCATCTCCTTTTGCATCCACCTTTTGTTTGGTCTGCTCGGTATCGGGGTGCCGTCTTGGCGGGTCCTTTTTTAGATTGGAACTTTGATCTTGGAGAGAATCGGGTTGTTTGGTTCCGGGGCAGTGCTCGATGGGGGCCAGATAACCCCTGAGTATCCTGGGCTGAGATGGGTCTTGCTGCGCCTACTTGGGAAGGTCTGTTGATGCTGCCTGGTTAGCTTCACATGCTTCCTCTCGCTCTGCTACTGCCTGTTATCTTATCAATGGAATGCATTTGCACGACATTCTGGTCTTGATTACTCGCATATCTACCCGTTGATAATGCACACCGATTTTAGTTTTGGGAATCTGAGGTCTCTAGAGCCTTTTCTCGTATCGGACAATTGTAAGACTTCTGCTGCCTTAGGTTCTACACGCCCAGTGGTTTCCCTTGCTGTCCCATCTTCGTTACATCGCCAAATTTATGCACCGAATGCCACTTGTATGCTCATCACACCAGACGCGTAATACCAGATTAACATTACCATACATCGTCACCATTTTCAGCTACAGAATTTGGTCTTGGATTTGTCGTTCAGGTTTGATTCGCGTATAAGGCGGAAGCTTCTCATGCATTCAACATTATCTACGCATTGTGCAGTAAACTCACAGTCACTGCACTATGCATTCACCTATCTCCTTGTTGCACGCCAACACCAACAGTCCTAGAGTCGTAACAAAATCTGTTCCAGCGAGCCCCTCGCGTAACAAGAATACGCCATGCCAAAAGTGGGAATCTCTTCATTTAATATCCATCCCGTATTCCAGGGAAAGTCCTACAGCTAGAAAAAAATGAGGCACCTCGATTTCGAGCAAGTATTACCCTTTCCTTAAGGGGGAATTTTCGACAGCCAGCATTGCGCGGGCTACCTGAGTGAGAACCGGGTGGATCTATGGTAGTGTCGGTAGGAAACATGTCAGATAACCTTTGCGATTGATTCAATTCACTGTCTGGCAATTTGATTCAATCAACTGTTAGCAAGTCTACTTTACCAGCATATCGCAATACTTTGATAGTCGGAAGAGCGAAATCGATAGAAAGAAAGGAGAGCAGAATTCTGTTATTACAGATCTATCTCGTGTTCCGCTAAGTAGTTTCACTCTCTGTTTCATTCGTGGTGTGTGTCTACCATCAAGTGATACGAATACAAACACCGTAATCCATGATCATTTGCCCAACCACAACAAAGCCTCCTATTGCTGGCGCACCACACAAGACCAGAAGCCCAAGCCACATACAGAAGTCATTCTCGCGATGCTGGAACGGATGTACGTCTGCTAGATAATATTTGTTGTTAGACATATTCCTTTGCATTGATTCTAGCTTGACGGGCTTTATGAAGTCCCTGATAGACTCCACGAAGCCTTCTCGCATAATGCTTCATATTTTTTTCTAACGCGACCTCGTCCTCCATCTCTTCTATATCCTTGAGTAGGACATTCAAATTTCTAATCATGTCCTGCCGGTCGGAATCGTTTATTTCTAGTTCGTCAGCCCTTTGCACAGGCATTTCTTCAAGCTCTTTTACCAATTCCCTTGCCGGTCTAGGATTTCTTCCCTCTGGAACCTCCATGCGCGTGCAGTTGCTGACGATGATTCCCGAGTCAGCTCTTCGTGTGTTGCATCACCATCAGGCTTGGTGTCGGCGTTACATTTCTGCACTGCTGGCTCAGACCTCTCAATTATTTCTCTGAATAGGTGACACAACAAGGGTGATGTTCTACATCACTGGGGAGAAGCATAGAGAAAAAAGTATTTGTAGTGATTCCTGCTGTAAGAATGTGGTGGCGAGATATAGTAAAATCGACTTAGCTCGTAAGTGTGCGGAGAAGCTGTGCAGCACTGGAACTACTGACGATCCATAACGGGGGCTGATTCGAATTCATCACACGTAGTAACCAGAAGGGGATGTGTTGATTGCTATTGTCCTCTGCGATTGGATGCTGCAGGTAGCTAGATAAAGCAGCGAATAGCATCGCTGACAATTCATGCAAGAACACTTCACACACACATGTATCAGGCTACTCTCGCAAGAATGCTGGAGATCTCCGGCTCTAGTGCAATCGTATAACGAGTCCGTCACAATATGATTAGTGTTGAACGACAGCTCTAGAATACACGATTGGGTCCACAATCGGGAAACAGTCTGAGAGACATCCTGCTTACCAGTGCGACCAGTCGTAGAGTGGTTCTCGTCTGTTGCCGCTCTTCTTTCTTATCACCCTCTCCGTCCCAGAATTCGACGAATGGGAGTGGAGCCGCATCGTACGCTACACAGTATGAATACGACGCAGAAGATCGCGATCTCGAAGTCTCCACGGCGGGGGTTGCGAGGCCGCCATGGTAGTACAGTATCCCCGACAAACACTAGCATGAAGTAAGAAAGTACTACTACTGGCTCACGTATCCAATTTCGCTAAAGCCAGCATTTTTGAGCGTGTCACCGCCTGCCAAAGCGGATAAATCTGGTCACTACTCTTCTTTGGCGATACAGTCTTATGTTCCAACAGAAATGTAAGGCTGGTGCGGTGTTAATGCAGCTAGTAAGTAAGAAACAACCGATAGTATGAAATGTGTGCGTATCTTTCCTATTGCAAAATCGGATCCTAGAGATATTATCTTGAAGAATAATCTGTCTTGGACGATAGATATATGCACTGTGGAACTGAAGGAGTAAAAACCTAAATGCTGAATGACCTCCCACTCTTCGGGATTTTCTGTAGATAGGGGAATCACTGGGTATCAAGGCGACTTCCCGAACTATGATCAGCGATTCAATTGTTCAAACAAACCGCTTGCTTCGACAACACGCCTTCCAATTCACTCTCGATCATTCTAGCGAACTAACGATAACCTTTCATTGTGCTCCAAACAAGTTTCTTGTACACAAAGACGCGCTTTTGACTACTTCGACACTGTAAACCATCACTGCTAACTACTTTTCTATACTTTGTCAGATCTGAAATTACCCCCTTGAACTAATCTACGCCACCTCTATGCGAATAGCAATCTCAAGCAAGGTACTAGACTCAAAAATCACACTATCAACCCAATCTTTCACGTTTCGAAGTTTCATTCTCAAAAAAGCGTATGCATCTTCTTTTCACTCACTGCGTCACCATAGCGAACAAATCAATCATTTCGATCCCGAGCATCGATCATGGAGCAAATTCTGGAAGCCGTCCGTACGAACGCCGATCGCCTGACTGGTATGTTCAAACCCGAGGAGCAGGCAAAGCGTAGAAGCAGCATTATAGAAGTACGCAGTATCCTCCCCTAACGTTTTAGATCTTTGCTAACCACTTCTTTAGGCATTGTTCGCGCGGCATGCAGAAATATTCGCAAAAATGGACTTGGATGAAAATGGTATGCCCAGGCCTGATGCGACTACGCCTCCTGTAGCTAGGCGTGCTGTGCCCATCACTCATGTGACTACTGCTCCTGTTGTTGCTTCTGCTGTACCAACTTATCCTGCGGCTACCTCCGCTACGACCTACCCTACCGTAGCTGCCCCTACTAAGACGTTCCCTACAGTGGCTTTCCCTACTGTGGATTTTCCTTCTATGGCTTTCCCTTCTTTGGCTGTCCCTACTATGGATGTCCCTACTGTAGCCGTCCCTGTTGTAGCTACCGGAAACATCACGAATACGAACCATCCTCGAATAGCAAAACGACGGAATGATGAGGAGATCGTCGTCTCGGAGAGAGAAAGCAAGCTCAAGACAGCAAAGTGTCGAGCTTTACGACAGCAACAACGACACATGTTGGTAACCAAGAATCGTATAGAACATCATCGAGCACAGAGAGCTCAGGGGTTTCGCGTTCATGGACCAGAGGATGAGACCGAATCTTTGGATCCCCAATCAGCGGATTCGTTGGATGCCGATACGAAACCCTCTCAAGACATGTCCTTTTATGAAAACCAAACATATAAAGAGAGTCATGCCTATGTTAAGGAACGGCTTACGAATATCCTCGGTGCAGAGCGAATGAATTTCCAGCTGCTCCCTTCAGGCCACAATCCCATTGACCCTATCATCGCCGAATACAACCAGCGAACAATCACAAATAGTATACTTGACCAGTGGGAAGCCCACAAGGTTGAGATGCGTCGTCAGGAGGAGGAGCAAAAGCGCCAAGCCCATGAAGAAGAGGTTAGGAGATTCAAGATACAGACTCTCCTCGATCACTACCGCCAACTATACATTAATCGGTTGGAACAGCTAGCTATCTATGGTCGTGATCTTGAAATGGGTATTGGATACATCGAAGCTGCTCTAATGGCCGGTGGCCTTTGTGAGGCGGCCAACGTTATGCAAGACATGACGCATCAGGTCCTTCTTCCCATCCATACCCTGCTCCAGAAATGCGACAAAGAGATACCACTGGAAGAAGCTGGTGCTGGAAAGTTGAAAAGCATGTGGCCAATGGATGGTCTTATGGCAGTGTTCGAGTACCTGCAGGGCGAGCCTTACCTTCCGCCCCAAGCTATTGATATGATGCAGGGGATTCAGGTCATTTGCACAGCGCTCAACAATCCGACGCCTTTCCAGAACCCACTTGATCCCAGGCCGGTTTTAAACAATGCCCCCAAACCATCTTTCAACAATAACTCGAATTTTCAACATACTTCACACCAAATTATTCCTGCAGCAAAGCCTTCTCCTTCTAAAGGGCTTTCAGTCATCGGCGCTGCATCAGCACCTGCTGGCAGCGGATTCTCCAAGCTTCTTGCGGCGACTGCTCAGAGTGTCAAGCAGGAACAAAATAGAGAGCCAGGCTCTACAAGTAGTGGCTTCGCGAAACTCCTTGCTGCCACCGCCGAGAAGGCGAACAGCACCCAAGAAGCGAGTTCTGGCACTGCTCCGAACGTCTCTCAGAATACCACCCTCGAGACCGACCTATCACCAGCTCACGCAGCCCGAACGGCAGTACTACAGTACATCGCCACCGAAAATCTCTACTTCGCAAGCGAAGTCCAAGACCTCATTAGGAATAACACTGTCGTGGGCATCCACCGCCGCCAGGCCTCCGAATGCCTCAAGGAGCTTATTGGGCTAGCCAACGGCGAAGAAGGTTTCCTCGGAGAGATGGATGCCGGCAGCTATAGGATGCAAATCGAGAGGTGTGTTACCAAGATCAATACTCTACCGACCAACCCGCGACTCAACAGGGATACGCAGGCGCTCAAGAAGTTGTGCGGAATCGCTTTGAAGCTTTGGAGTGTGCATGCGAAGTAAAAGTGGGAGCGGGGTTTCTTGGTCTTCCAGTTAGGTACGTTTGCGAAGACGGATGAGGGAGTTCGAGCCGTTTTTGAGTAGTCAGGGTATGTCTAGGCGTTGGCTGGGTCTATCACTTTGCTTGGCGATCTTGATGACTCTTTTACCTTTTGGCTGGATCGTATTGGTATGTTGCCACTAGTTGGAAATGAATGAATCGTCACATATTGTTTTACATCATTCCTCAGTGATGTGTTAGTATCTCATGTTAGTGGATAAGTAATGTAGAGGATCGTTCTCGCATACTCTTGCGATGCTGCATCTTGTGTTGGCATATTGACACAAAAAGTTGTTCACCCCAATATTCACAGTGCCTTTGCATTGCAACCATGTCTTCCGGCCGGAGATGCCGGTATAGATTAAACTACCGCCAGAGGCTAGGCACCGGACCGGTCCCTTCACAACCACACTCGGTTTTCCTGAATCATGTTCTGAAGATAGATGAAAATGTAAGACCTAGTGCAATGTAAATGTGTCAGTGCAATATGGTAGTCTATCTCATCCTCGCCACAAAATACAAAGCAGGCCCTTTTTCAAACACTGGACGCGATTCATATCATGCTCACAGTATACACAACACGAGTCGAGCTCAACCATTTTTAGCCAACGTTACATTTTACTGACGACCCAGAAGCAAGTCATTGTGTAATGGCCAATCGGAAATCGCATAAATGATTCTAACAATGTCACATCGACCACTCCCTCGGACTACAGATGACCGAGAAGGAGGGCTACGTATCTTGGCTCCGTCGCCACAATGTGCGCAAAAGAGGTGAATTGACCGGTCCCAACAACGCCACTGTGGAGTTTATTTGACCCACGTGCCCCGCCCCCAGGGACATGGGAAACGCTAAGGGATCCGCCAAGCGAGCACATTTTGGGGAGGAGGGTAAAGTTCTAGTCCGGCCCTGTTCCCGGTCGTGCGTATATGCTTCGTACTTGGCACACTTTAGTGGACAGAAAAAGCCTAAAGCAACGTGGTTGGCAGGCCCATTTTGAGGTTTTTACACTTACGGTGAGCCAAAGTTCATCATGGGACATGTCTTGGGGCATGAATTCCAAGTTCTTGGGCCTGCGTGGTGCCAAAATTGTAAACTAGTTCATTTGCTATCCATCGCTATCATCAAAAAAGGGTATCTCTATCAATCACTCCACGGTCCACACTGCCCGGACCCCACATTTCTACGCACAGCAGCCCGTGGGTCCAGCCGCACTAATTGACGCATGCCTCTCCTCCTTCTGTTCTGGCGTGTTGTACGGTATCCTGACCACAAGCCAATCGCACAAGAACTTGCCCAATCCAGCGCCCAAAACAATCGAGATGAAAATGTAGCCATTGAAGTGCATAACCAACAACATGACAATGTAGGCCAGACCGAGCGTGACGCCGTGAATTATAGAACGAACGAGTTGTTGCAATGCGGTGGCACGGAAGGTCGCGTGTTGAAGTCCAAGAGTGGACGTGGGGCCGTCGCAGCAGTTGGCGGGCATGGCGGCCGCTAGCGCTGCCTGCTGGGCGTGGAGTTGTCGCTGGAATTGGCGCAGAAGAAAGGCATCGTATTCGTGGCTAACGCGGCGCAGGAATTCGAGACAGACGACGAGAAGAACGGCGCCCACGCAGCTGGCGGCCATCATGCCATTGTTCGTGATGTGCCATGAGGAGGAGAGAAAGCATGCGTCCTCGACGCGCCAGTTCCACAGCATCTTTGGCATGTTAGCATTTTGCACTTTTCTATCATCATCTTTTTTTTCTTCTCGAATTTGCGATTTTGAAGATGCATTTTACATACCTCAGTGACGCAAGTTTTGTTGCCGGCCATGCCGGACATTCCGTGGGACATCATGATAGGCGATGCGCAATGGATGTAGAATCTCGCACGGCGAAAGTTGAGATTGAAAAAACGTAAATTCACAAAGAAACTGTGCGAGGGAATCCCAAGGATTGAATAGAGGCTTTAGCAATTGGCCTTCGACGCTAATCCGCAGAGCCAGACCCAGCGGGTGATGCGATATTCATAGGGTCCTTGATCCAGCCATGTTCGATCCACAGGGTCGTCGTCTGGTCCCGTCTTGGGTCCAACCTTTGCAGATAGTCTCCCGAAACTGTGGGGTTATTTGCTCAAATGCTCTCGCACTAGCGACATACCCATGCCTTTAAGACGGCTCTAAACATCTTGTCTTCATCTAGAAGCTTGGCTTCGTGCTCGAATTACCGATGAAACATGCTCACTATCTACCGCCTCCGGTTCGCCACATTTATATAGATATAACGACTCCACCGATTCTCCGGAAGCCGCAAAGAGCCTCACACAATCTTTGCATCCGCTGTTTGTCTGTCGCCTTTCCTCGTCCCCAGCGCGCCAGCAAACATGGACGTCAACATGCTGGCTCCGCGCCATATCCAGAATATGAGCACAGCATCGTCCATAGAACACCATTGGGGGTATGCTGACCGCGCGGTTCCCTGCACTAACGTACCAGACGACTGTACCTATCTCGACCTCGTCTACCACGCCCACGACCTCTCCATGCTCTACAGCGGTATCATGTGGTCCGTCATTGGCGGTATCCTGGTGATCTGGGGTGTCGGACGACACTTTGCGCGTTCGCAACCCTCGGGTGTACAGCTCCCGGCCGAAGTGGGTGAAGGAGTACCACAAAAACGCAGCGCTCTCGAACGATTCCAAAAAGCAATTGCATCATACTCGCGACAATACCTCCTCCCAGATGCCGCCAGGCCGATATTTGGCCGAGTCACTCGCACTCAGGTCTTGACCCTTACTGTCCTGACCGGTTACCTCATCGTCTTCTCTTTCGTCGGCATGATCTACAACCACTGGAACACTCCTGCGAAAAAGTTTCCCGGCGTTACCAATCCTCCTGGTCTTACCCAAACTCGTAGTACTCTCGGCCCCTGGTCTGATCGCATTGGCGTTTTGGCGTATGCTCTCACGCCTTTGTCGGTTATGCTCGCGAGCCGCGAATCTATTTTGTCGCTTGTCACCGGCCTGCCATACCAAAGCTTCAACTTCCTCCATCGCTGGCTCGGATACATTATCTTCCTCCAGTCATCCCTTCACACCATCGCCTGGTGCATTGTCGAGATTCGTCTTTACCAGCCGCAGCCATATGTTGCCAAGACCTGGATTGTGCAGGAATACATGATTTGGGGTTTGGTTGCGATGATCATCTTGACACTGCTAGTCCTGCTCTCCACACCCTGGGGAATCAAACTCACTGGCTACGAATTCTTCCGCAAGGCCCACTATGTTCTGGCTATGATTTACATCGGAGCATGCTGGGGCCACTGGCAGCAGCTTAAGGTCTTCCTTTTGCCTGGATTGATTGTCTGGTTCATCGATCGTGGTATCAGACTTGTCAGGTCGGCTCTGTTACACTACAATTTCCTACCTTCCGGTCACATGGGTTTCCGCTCAGCTTCCTCGACTGTATCTCTCTTCAAGGACGAGGTCAATGGCGATATTGTGCGCTTGGACTTTGACCACCCTCAAGATGCTTGGTCTGTCGGTCAGCACTTCTACCTTACCTTCCCTGATAGCAGCATCTGGCAAAGTCATCCATTCACCCCAGTCAGTCTCCCGGTCTTTGGTGCCGATAGTCAGAGGCACTCGTACATTTTCCGCGCAAGGAAGGGTGAAACCAAGAAGATTGCCCAGCTAGCCATGAAGCGCATCGCTCACGTCAAAGACCACGAGGAGTCACACGAAGGACTGATGGCCGATGCCCGCATTTCGGTCGTCATGACTGGCCCATATGGCGAGCGTACGATGAGCAGCCTCGCCCCCAACTCCAACATTCTCTGCATCGCTGGTGGAACTGGCATCGCATACGTTATCCCGGTTCTTCTCGATCTCGCCTCCCAACAGCAACACCCCGATCGTCACATGTCCCTTGTATGGGCCATCCGCCGCAGAAGCGATATCGACTGGGTCGCACCCGAACTCGCCATCTTGAAGCGCAAGTGTCGCAACCTGCGCACCAGCATCCACATCTATGTTACGCGTGCCTCCGAGGAAGTAGACATCCCACCACCCGCCACATCAGAAAAGGTCGGCGAAACCGACTGCAGTAAGGAAATCAACCCCGCCTCGAGCTCAGATGGTTCTACCCAGGATGCTTCTTCCGCTCTTTCTGTCCACGGTGTGTCGAAATCGGATCTCGGCCTGAACCACGTCCAGGCACGACCCAACCTTGACGCAATCGTGCGCGAATTCGTCGCTGGAACAGTACGAGGAGGAACTGATGTCTTTGCTTCTGGTCCAGGAGGTATGATCAGTGACCTCAGGCGCATCATCGCTAGCACCAACAAAGGTGGCGATGTGTGGAAGGGAGATGACAGATATGATGTACGGCTGACATGCGATGACCGGTTGGAATGGTAATGTTTTTTGTATATTTAGATACCCCTAGTACAATCTTAGCGTTTTTCAGTTTGCATGATACTTGCGATTTGTATGCTCGTGATGAGGCCGTGTATGATGAATTCGATGAATTCGACGCGCTAGTGAAACCTGCTGATTAATTGTTATGCGAGTGGCCTTACTCACTCACACTGGCCACAACCTTACCATACACGAAAGTGCAGTTTTTTCTTATGTGACGCAGAAACATCGAATCCTTCCATTCAAATCAAATGCGCTTGACGCATGTCGTTGGCATACTCGTCGTTTCTGCGAAGGCGCCTACGTGCTATTTTTCCCCCGGCAATAACTCCGCTAACTCCGAATCCCACATCGTCACCATTCGTACATCCCGACCATCGATTTAGCTGACGATCCCCGTCGTTCTTACGCTCGGTTGTTACTCAAAGCCCTGGCACAATATCCGCAAAGATGAGAAAATTACTTGACTTGTGCTACGATGTTCTCCTCCAGATCCTTGAAGAAATCAATCCTGAAGATGTGGCGGCTTGTGCGCAGACGTCCAAGGCCTTCAATAGCTTCATCAGAGAAAATGGGCGGATATATAAGACTCTCTACCTCAAACATTTTGTATGAAGAAAACAGCGAGATTTCAGTGATTGTATGATGCTGACTATATGTTAGGATGATCCTCGCCGGAGAAGACCGACAGATCCAGAGCCTGCGTGGGTTGAAGAACTGCAACGGCTAGTCAGATGCCAGAAGATGCTATTATCAGCCGATAATGACCTCAAGGTAGGGTTCGCGCCTTTTCCATCACTTCGTCATTTAACGCTCGCAGCGGGAAGAGTTTACTTTCGTTGCATCGACAGTGGAAAGTCTTATCGCCACCATGTCATGCGACAACCTCGGCATTAGTCACAATAGGGCCTTGCTCAAAGACCTTTTCGAAAACATCTCCCAAAACCACGATGCTTTCATGTGTCGCTCATCGCATTTCAGTCGGGCTGGAACATCAACACAGAAACCAGCTGAGGATGAAGAAGGCCGTCAGCTGAGCGCAAAATTGCATAGCCTATTCGGCTTCCCCAATTCCAAGGGCTTCCCCCAATCTAAGGCTGGAGGGAAAAATGTACTTTTCACTCAACCGTATGCCCGATCACGCGTATACGATTTAAGAAACTACACCGATAAGAACAAATGGGGCCCTTTCCGCAAAGATGGAAGCATGCGCGTAGATTGGGAAATGATTGAAAGCATTATGATCGTACTTGGATACAACTCGTTCTTTTCCCTTCAAACGCTGAGCAACCGACTCCAGCTGCCATGGCTAGACTCCTTAGAAGGTATCATTCCGGATATGGGCATCGATCAATCAAATTACATAGCGCTGCTACAGGAACCGGAACTCCCGCTCGATATGAAAGACCCGTACAGAGTTCAAGGAATTTGGTCCCGAGTATGGCATCTACAAACTGATAGCATTGACAACTTACTGATAACTTTCAGGTTGTTTGCTTCCTGGATTACACTGATCTATACCACTACAACTTCGAAACGGATGCGAGAAGAGTTCCTGCTGATCAACCAAGAGCACCACTTCACGTAGACGAAGCCATTCGTCACATACTCATGTATTTGCGAATTAATGATGTTACCGCACCAGGCCCATCAGACAACCCCGCACTACCAGTGGTACATTTCAAAGGAAAGTCAAGATCTATAGACGTTCAATCGGATCCTAATGGGACCTCTGGCATCCGTGGCACTGTGAGCTTGACACCTGAGGGCGAAGTGAGGTGGCAGACGATTTCAATTTTCGAAGGGTAAGTTTGCGTTACTCTTGGTGCGCCGCTGAGCCGAGTATTTCTGACGTGTGAAAGCAGTGAGGAGAGATGGCGTAGCGATGGTATCCAAGTAGGCGGATTGCGCTGTCCACGAGGCGTTGTCGGATCATGGTTTGACAAAGATTTCGACGTGCACGGACCGGCTGGGCCGACTGCGTTCTGGAAGATCAGCGACAAGGTTCTGGATTCCGACGATGAAGAAGAGGGCTTTGGAGACGATATCTGAGATGTGTAGTTTTCAGGACGGTGCTAGATGGGTAAGTAAGTATGCTCAATACATAAAGTATGGGAGACTAATTAAGTCGAGATGTCACTGTGTTACATGTATATGCATAAAATGCAAATGTAGAAAGCTATTTGATTAAAGTTTTCTTGCTAGTTAATGTTATTCCATCGTGGTCGGTAAGTGAGCACTGAACACGACTGTAGCATAATACTATGGCCATAGCTCGCCAGAGGTGGCTCCTTGCAACACCGCCGGCTTAGTTACCTAAGGCTAGAGTCTTGAATTCACCACTATATTATGATATCCGAATCCGTCACTAATGGTCTCTCTGAAAGGTTCTGTAAGCACTAGCGAAGCTAGGCCTATTTATGAATTTGGGGCGGTGAAATGCCATTGCCGATCGCCTCCTTAGCGCCAGAGTAAGTAGGGAGAAGGACCGAGGTCGGAGATGAGAAGGAGAGAGTCCAAGGGCTCCAGGCTATAACAGACACCGTTCTTACAAACCGTACACCATGCCTACAAACGTATTGTGCCCTACTGATGATGAAAATGTAGTGAAAGAGCTCTATGCCAATCAAAACGCGTTCATAGCGTTGGTAAAGCCTTTTTTGGGTCAGTTTAGGCGGAAATCTTCAGAGATGTAGAAAGAGCCTGTGACCTTCTCGGCCATCCGTATTCTCGAGATTTATGGGTCTAGACAATACTAACTGGCCGGGCAAAATACGATTGCAGACATGCTGTATTTGCCTAATCTTTATCTAGACTAGTGCCCCTGATTGCACAAATTATATATATAGAACTCTTCCTTGCCGTCCAATTTCTTTGCTAAACCAATCTTATATTTCTCAGTCAATATGCGTTTTACTATCCTCGCTGCAATCGTTCCCTTGCTGTCTTTGACGGTTGCGCAAGGCAATTGGGTACTTCACAACAACCTATCTTTCCCTCCCTCCGTAACTGCGACTAACTAGTTACTTATTAGAACTGCAAGAACTCAGATGATCCTGATTACATGAAAATGGATCTACAACACCGTCAGGCTGCTCCTGATGGACTCTGCGTAAACGATGGTGGCCTCGGGCTGTTAGCCCACCGATGCACTGCTGTAAGGCGAAGCCTCGTTTCACATGTCTTAATGCTAATATTGGTTTTAGGGAAAGCCTTGCAAGCAAAACAACAATGGTATATAATCTTTCCTAAATCTTGAGTTAGTATCACTAATGATTTGACAGGCTGTATTCCAATCAATGATTTTGAAGCGAACTGTTCTAGTTGAGCTCCTCCCTAACTGGCTGAATTTCCTTTGATACGGCTCGTCGATGGGGATCTCGGTGCGCGACTACAAAATCTGAGTATAGGTCTCAGCATCCGGATTCTGCTTATCTGAACTGCACTCAGAGGCCACGCTCAGACTATTTGGGATTATCTTTTTGAGCGATGCTTAGACTGAAGTAAAAGTATTTCTTCGACCCATATGCAGGTATGAACGCTCTGGCAGATATTATATGTTCCGAATAAAATCATGTTACACCTGGCACTACATTTGATATGACACTCCTTAAGCCAACACCCTTACAATTGTCCGCTTGTTAGATATATATGATACAGGGTTAGGTTACAATCCTCCATTTTAATTCTGGATTAGGATAGAATAGACAGATGCAGCGGTTTATTATTTATAGGATAGATAGGTACATTTTCTGCGCCAGTGCACAAGGTTGCGAACAACCTTGGTCGAGAACAATAGTATGTACCATCAAGTTGAAGGTATATATACTAAGAGAATGAAAGCCGAGAAACAATTGTGTTATACTCAGCTGGACTTGAGAATACTTCAAATAGTGTATAAGTCTAGTGTAGAAAGTATTATATTGTACTATATGTTCAAGTATGCTTAGGACGATGTTACATATCAACATAACTCCATTCCAACTCATTAGCCGCGATACCATCTACTTGCACTTCGTGCGTCTCTCCTGGGATGACATCAAAGCCATTGTCGCTTAATTGTACGCCCTCTTTCTCGCTAAATACAAAGCCTTTTACTGGCTTTGAAGATGATACAAAAGCCACAGTCAAGTCTCCAGAATACTCCACCTTGATCCCCCGATCTTCAAAAGAGAGATATTTGATCGGCTCCGGCCAAGATACGTCCGTTGCAACACACTGGCCCTTTATGTGTAGCGTCGCCTCAATAACGAAAGGGTCGGTTGTCGTAAAGTCAAAATCATCCGGGTGCTTTGAGATGTCCACACTCATTATATGAGTCTTGATAACCTCGGTAGTCCCGTTGACCGCAATGCGAACATCTCGCTTCAATTCCTGGCCCTGTTTCGTCCCCGTCTTGATTGAGACATACCTAATCCTCACACTCCCCTCCACCTCTTTGACCGTGCTATTAGCAACCCAAACTTCATACTCGACCTCCTGCCGCAACTTGCGCATGTCAACATGTCCTGTATCTCGCTGCCACAGCTCATCCGCCGGCTGCATAGTCCAGCTCGTAACCTTGCGTTGAACACCAATAGCAACAGGCTTCATGGCACGCTTGATAGCATAATACGCCGGTTTAGGCACACGCTCGTAGTCGACAACAGCCCACGACATGGTCGGCCAGCAATCATTAAGTTGCCAAACCAGCACACCCCCACACTTGCGACTGCCATGCGATCCCCAATCACGACGCCAGGACTTGTACGCCCACGCCATAGCATCGGCCTGCATGACCTGCGTTAGATGCGCGAATCCCTTCAGATCATATCTGACGCGAAAGTTCTCAGCCACATAGCTCATCAAGCGTCGCTCATGTGCGATCGCTTTGTTGCGGAAGTCCATGGCCATGGAGCCCGGGTAGCGGTCTTCTGGCCGCGTAACCCATTTCTCGATCGTAGATATGTGCGGATAGGCTTCCATGCCGAATTCGGAGACGAAGCGGCCGCCTAGCTCGGGGAGGCGTTGGTATGGTTCCATTGTGCCGTTCCATACGTTCCATTGGTGGATGTCGCCGATTGTGGGATCGACTTTTAAGACGGTGGAGCGGCCGTTGCCGAAGGGAGAACTGGGGTGGTAAGGTGTGTTTGGCGATTCCTGGGATACTATCTTTGGGAGGAGATGCTCGTAGATGTAGCGTGCCGGGAAATTTGTTTTGAGCCAGGACTCGGGGTCTTTGTTGTCGGGGTCGTAGTCGAGTCCGTAGCGCTCTACAATTTGGTAGTCTTCGTTATTTCCTCCCCAGAGGATGATGCTCGGATGCCTCCGTACTTGTTGGACGTTTTGTCTGGCTTCAGTTTCCACACTCTCCAGATATTTTGTGTGACCTGGGTAGTTTGCACAGGCAAACATGAAGTCTTGCCATATTAACACACCCAGCTCGTCAGCTGCATCGTACAATGCATGGGCTTCATAGATGCCACCACCCCATATGCGAATCATTGTTTGGTTTCCATCGGCTGCGAGCTTTACCCACGCGTGATAGTCAGAAGGCGTGAGACGCGTCAAAAAGGAGTCTGCGGGTATCCAGCACGATCCACCACAGAAGATGTCAATGTTGTTGACGCGGAAGTAGAAAGATTGGCCGTCCTTATCCGGCTCTTGAATTAGTTCGGCACGACGAAAGCCAAAGTCTTTTGAGACAGAGTGAAGTCTCTGAGATTCGGACGTCTCAGACTGTACGTAAGCTTCCGCTTGGACGGTGTACATATTCTGATGGCCGTAGCCTCGCGGCCACCAGAGCTCGACATCTTCCATGATACCAGATGCACTTGCAGTTCCGCAGCGATCTCCAGACCGAAGATCTGTGGTATTGCTCCATTCGACAACACTGCTCCCTTTCTTCGTAACAGTAAAAGTCAACGAATCAATAAGGCCTTCCCATTCGACCCCAGCTACAATCGAAGCAGAATCCAAGTCATGTGAAAGATCGTAGTGGATGTCCAGATTTGATAACCGACTCATCCACGTCTTTAGCGATATCGGTTTCCAAATCCCACACGTCATTAGTATGGGGCCCCAATCCCACCCCCAATGATACTGCGCTTTACGAACCGGGCCACGCGAAATCTCGGTCTGGTGTACAATGTGCCGATGGCCTTTATGTTCCTCGACAAGTTCCAGACCCCTCTTTCGCGCAGAATGAAAGACGATTTCTAGTGCATTGTCTCGGTCTTTCAGCTTCCCTGTAACGTCAACCCAATGCGCCTCAAACATGTTATCTGATTGGAGGATCAAGACACCATTCAGATAGACGGAAGCAAATGTATCCAATCCTTCGAATTGAAGTTCGGAAGTCGCACCAGCTTTGCCATAATGTTCAGGTGCAGCGAAGGTGGTACAATATGTCCATGTCTCGTCTCCGACCCAGCGTACTGACAGCTCGTTGAAGTCAATGAAGGGATCCTTGATTTTTCCATTCTTAAGGAGGTCACGATGTATCTCGGTTGGAGCATCGTGCGCAGGTAGAAAGGGACTAGTGGAGGAGCGATCGCCTTGCTTTACCGCCCAACCTGTTGTGAGCGGCGTAGATATATGCGGTACTAGCTGCATACTTGATCTTGTCGTGCACGCGTACAAAGCGAAGGATGTACTTTTGTGCTCATGACAGATGGCAGATGTTCGGTGGCTTTTGACCCGCAGTGGCACCACCAGTTTCCCGGATGCGGGGTTCTCCACAGCTCTTTCAAGATGGGATCGGCGCTCACCGTTGTGCAGGGTATGATAAGAAAAATCCTGGTTCAAACTAGGGTAAATAGATATGTGATTAGGCTTAGAAATATTCCAGTTCAACAGAAAGCCTCAAGCTACGGTCTGAATTCCACCAGTCAACGAAGGCCGTTGAGCTACTCGAGGACCTTGAAGCCAACCAAGTCCGGTGCAAACCTGTCTCCGTAGCCTCTGAACTCTACGGTGTTTGCACTACCCTCAGTAAACCCATCAACTTCAATGTTCAGTCCAAAACTCTCTTGCCAGTTCCCACCGGAGAGTGGGAAAGCCCACCTCTTCGCCTTTTTACCGTTCACAGCTACTGTCATGTTTCGCGCATTGTCACCCCAATCCCATGCGGTAGTGAATGCGTATTCGTAGTTGACGAAGTCGACACTCAAGAGTTTCTTGCCGGCGGAAGCAGCACTGACATTGGAGAAAGTTACACCAGCGCTGCGATCGATGTATCCAACCTTTGATCCTGTTGGCAAGCAGGCGCCCTCTGCACAGGATATTACTTGTGCTGGCCCAGAGAGAGATGCGTCAGCAGCTGAATGGTATGCGCCAGAACCTAGCGGAGCAGCTGCCTCCACATCGGATAGCACCCATAGGCGTAATTCGTGACCGGCAAGATCGAGAGTCTGGGAACCAGAAACAGCACCCAGGTCCTTCGCAGCCCAGACGTCGCGTGCATTGGCTGATGCAATGCCAAGCGAGGCCAAGTTCAATTCGACATTCTGAGAGTTATTTCTCCAATTTGCAACACCCAGAACTTGTTTTGAGCCTGAAAGCTCACCTAGCCATACATCCCATTCGCTTTCGGTGTTACGCTGGATCAATTTTGCTGGCTTAGCAAGCGGATCCTGGTTAATAGCAATCACCTCTTTGTTTGTCATGATGTCTATTGAGGATTGACTGAGGCGCTTCGGGTCAAGAGCTGCGCCCATGATCAGAGGCGACTTGTTGATCGCCCACATGCCGAAGTGGAAGCGCTCTTCTTCTTCGGAAAGTGCCTTCAGGCCAACGCTGTTTAAGTTAGCCTATTTCTCGAGATCTGAACAAGATGCATACATCAACATGTCCATGTCGGCAAAGGCACCCGTAGTGGTATGTCTAAAGTACGGTACAATCTGGTTCGTAATTCGCCAGATGCTACGCCAGGCGTTGTAGATGTCGTTGCTCATTCTCCAGGTAGCTCCAATTTCGGCAGCCCAGTCACCAACGTTAGTTCCAATTCCCCATTGGCAAACGTAGTATTGAATGTTGCGGTTGACAGCATCCAGCTCAGCCGCCATGTGTTGGAAACGAGCGGGTGATTGGGCTTCAGCAGAGCTTGAATCGACCATAGTTGTATTCGATGTAGAATAGCAGTTATCGTACCTGATTCAGATCAGCTATTGTTTTAGAGTAAATTTGATAATGTTATTTTACTTCAGGCTGTCTCCACCCCATTCTGCAAAGCTTTCTGCATCTAATTGTTCGAAGCCCAGACTTGCAGGCAATGCTTCAGATCCGCACTGCAGGTAACCAGCTCCAGAGTAGAGCCCGAAGTCAAGTCCAAGGTCATGGAGAAAGTCACCAAGAGCCTTGCCACCAGATGGAAAGAGTGTCTCATTCCATTGGAGCTTGCCATCAGAGTCTCGATCTTTTGCATTCCAGCCACAATCGACCGTCACAAAGTTGTAGCCAACACTTTGAAACCCAAGATCTACGAGTCCTCGAGCACTCTCATGAATCTTTCCTTCATCTGGAAGACAATTCCAGGTATTGTACGAGTTCCATCCCATAGGAGGTGTTGGAGAACGCACAAGTTTTGCAGTAACCCGATGCGTGAGCAGCGATGCTGCGAACAAAAGTGAAGCGGCTGTCATGATGGTCTTCTGTCGTTGAAGATGCAATTGATGCACGTCTACAAGCAGCCGCTTCATAGACTTTATTTAAATACCCGGTGGACATGACGATGCATGCTGCATGGCCCAGAACGAAGCAGCATCATGGCGTCGGGCCACGGAGAAATTGATCGCGATGCGCACAGTCTCAGTCTTGGGTTGCATCGCCTGGCATAACCACAACAGCTTCAAGTAGCGATCATCAAAATGACAAGAGTTTATTGCAAGGGTTCAGTTCCGTTTCGGGTACATGTGAGGAGAGACTTCGACTTTTATCCGGGTAAAGGATGAAAATAGGAAGTGTAGTATGGTACCCCGCGCACGCTAACGTGAAGTCGCGACGTCATGTTAACAGTAACTAAAAGGGGATGTCCCGATGGTTTTGGAAGATTTGCAGCATACGGTAGAGTTTATTGCAGCTTTGAGAGGTGCATCTTTGGAGACAAAAATGGTCATTGGTGCTGTGGAGGAGTGAAGGAACATGAATTCGAAAATGGCTTTTTCTCGATAGTAGCATTCAGTCTACTTCCAGTCGTGGTATAACTGCAAGGGGGTTTTCGCATCAACATCTACAAGATATCTCCATTCACATGTGAGTAGATCAAGGAATCAATGTCACGGCCTGGTCTATTGTTCGTGCGCACATTATTTACAACCAAACTGCCTACATTTCACCACAAAGGGCTCAAAACACAGTCCGATTGCCTCCGTTTGGCGGCTGGGGCCACTTGTCGAGAATCGTCTCTTCACCCGTAATAGTCAACTTCAACTCAGCCTGGGTAGGCTCATCGAGGAGCAGGGTGTATTCGCCAGGGTAGATCACGGTGTTGCCTGATTGATCGACTCTAGCCAACTCTCCAAGTGTAAGCGTAAGCGACGCTGACTTTTTCGCGCCCCCATGGATATCTCTGAGCCTTCCGTATGTAATCAGGGTCTTTAGTGGGTACGGCTTCGGTCCAACTTCACCCTTGATGAAAGCGAGAGCGACGAAGTCCGATGTTCGGTTGCCCTTGTTTGCCACGGTGATCTCCAGCGGTGCAACCTCACACAAATCCCTGTACTGCTGTATGCAGTCATCCAAGATTTCCTGGATGTCGTAGGTGAGACCTTCTTCGCTAGCGAAACTGGCTTCAAAAGTGGTGTAGTGTAGACCGAAACCGAATGGCTGGATGGACTCATTGAACCAGCGATAAGTACGACCGGGACTTTCGGCATGTGGCCGCAAGTTCATGTCAAGCATAGAGAGCTTGACATAATCTGCCGGGTATTGCGTTATTGGCAAACGACCTGCAGGTGCATGCGCACCAGAAATGACGTTTAGTATCGCTGGACCACCATCTTGGCCAGGCCAATTCGCCCAGATGATTGAGTTGATGCCTTCCATGGACAAGAGAGGGGAGTGATCAGTCATGTCACCAAGCGTGACGACAATGAGCGGCTTGCCAATTTTAGCTAGTCTGGCAAGAAGGTCAATTTGCACTTGAGGGAAACTGATTGTAGTGCGATCGTAGCCTTCTTGCGCCACTGTCCAGTCTTGGCCACCAAAATAGAGGATATAGTCGGATTTCTCAGCCGCATCGAGCGCGTTGGTAGTCCAGTTGTCGGGCACACTTGAGTTCTGGATCATCGGGCCCCAGGCTATCGCCATATCCAATCCCATTTGTTCACCAGCGAATACTGGGGAGTGTCGGTAAGGAGGTGGACCACTGTAGATGCCCTGGAGTTTGGAAGAGTCGTTGGCCCAGAAACCTATCATAGCCACTTTTGATCCCTTCGTGAGAGGTAATGGAAGTGTATGATCGTTCTTTAGCATGACCAAACCTTCAGAGGTAACTTGTAGGGATAGTTGTCGTGCTTCGGGCGTGTTAATGTCTTTGTAACTCAAGTTTGCGTAAGTTGCCTTCGCGCCATCAAAGTAGCCGGCATGGACTAGACCTTCATATTGTCGAGTCAGTGCTTTGTCGATAACAGAAATATTCAGAAGACCTTGCGACCAAGCTCCTGGGATATCTGACGATCCACTGTATTCGCAGCTAATATCCATACCCTTGGCAAACGCAAGTGCGGTGCCTTGCGCAAGGGTTTCGACGTATTTGTGGTTCTCGGAGATATCTGCAACAGCTTCACAATCACTAGTAATGTAGTTGTTGCTATCTGTCCAGTTCCAGTGGTCCCTCAGGATTGTTTGAAGAACATAGGTGTCAGCGCATGTTGGAACGCCGTTGACTGCATTGTAGCTGCACATGAATGATCCGACCTTCGAATCACGCGCACATTGCTGAAATGGCGGCATGTAGTACTCTGCAAGGTCCTGCATGGTAATTTTTGCGCTGAAGTTGTGTCGATCGTATCCTCCCCAAGCTTCCATGTCGTAACCGACATAGTGTTTGCACGTTGCAATAATCTTCCTCTGAGCTTGGTCACCCTCGAGGCCAGCAAGGAGAGCCTTGGTGTACCCTTTTATTCGTCGAATATCCTCTCCGGGTGATTCACTAGCTCGGCCCCATCGTATATCGCGGACGGGATTGATGTCAGGGGTCCAATAATCCACAGGAGCGACTCCGCCGTTTCCGAACGCTCGAGCCTCGTTCCCGATAATGTTGGCAATCTTGAAAATAAGATCATCATCGAAAGCTGCCGACATGAGGATTGGCATAGGAAACGAAGTGGCGTTTTTATAGGGTTCGACAAATTTGATTCCTGGAGCTCCGGCTACACCGTGTAGAGCTTCGCCCCACCAATTATACGCTGGAAGACCTAACCTTGACACACCCTTGGATTTACTAAATCTGTTAGAAGAACTCTTTGTATGACTTGAGGAACTTGCACACCTGACGAGGTTATCCAGCTTTTCTTGAGGCTCCATAGCTGCGACTAGAGCCGCTGCCCTCTCGTGAGGAGGCGCATTGACATCGCAAATCGCATTGGTACTCAAGGGACCGTTGGTACAATCAGGACCAATTGCTGCATGTGACTTTGATACCAACGAGGCACCAAGTACCATGACAGTAGAAAGGAGTTGCATCGTGGCTGACCTCTGGACACGATTACAGCGTGAAGCAACGCATACACCGCCGGAGGTAGTCGACCTTTTATGGTTTGTCAACCATGCAGCTCCAAGTACCAATAGATCGGTAAAATTCATACGCGGATTGGCTCATGTCATATCTGATCAAAATTTACTCCGCCTTTTGCCGTAGACAGAAAAGTACTTTGTTACCCCGCGCACAGGGCCCCTGGATCTGCGCAACAGTGTTCTGCGATCATCCCGACCAAATAAACGGCATTCAGCCACCGGCTTCAATGTAAGATGATGCGCGCATCACATCACTCTGCATACAAGCTCATCAATTCGAGTTCTTTGGGGAGGTTTACGCCGAAAATAGGGCTTAGGTGTAGTCCACTGTAGTAGTGGGTAAAAGTTCGTATGTAGACACACTGAGAATAATAATCAGGCGCTTCTTCGGATGGCTCTACTATCCCCAATTTATTCGAGAGAATTGCTAGGTTGCTTTTAACAATTTCAGCGGACACTACACCATATATGGCATAGCTCTCACTGTCTACCCCAGCCTATGTCACACTCTTATTAGCGGCCCACATACTATATATAATCTTGGCCTAGCACGACAACAGTACAGCTCATCTGGATCGGCGGGAGAATCTGACATCCTTACCCCAATATGCATGCTGGACAGTAGCAATTGTAAAGTACCGTCAAGAAACCAGCCCAGGAAAGCCAAGACGACCGGCAACTTGTGGAAATATCTCAATGCGCTCAATGCCGGTCTCGACTGCATCAGAAATGGGGTTGGAATATATAGCATCAACGAAGGGTATTGCGAAGATAAGATCAGAGGGATTTAAAAAGGAGGAGAAAACACCAAAAGTATTATTACTAGGAAATATAAAATCGGCGAGGGTCCTGTGCCGAAATCGAACGCTAAGGCAAGTTACTCGTACTAACTATACCAAGGGCCGGTATACTTTGATTTGAAAATTTCAAAGCCTGTCAGTATGCGGTAAGCTATCATACATTACCCCTTCAATCACGGAATACCAACGTGGTCTGATGGGTTGCATATCGATGACGTGGATGTGTCTCTTCACGCTGCCCTGAAGCGTAGTTTATCTGATGATTGCTGTGGAATACTACACGCGATGAAAATGGAAAGATGGGGCTCGATACTCATCATGAACGGCTAGTACAGCTTTGTGAAAAGTGGTATGAGATGAATAATGCTATTAAGTTAAGAGAACACTTTTATCGCGTCTGAAACACATTGTAACCAATTACGAGACCTATAGTTACTGTGAGATTCACAGCAAGTACTCTAGAACGCTTCTCGACAAATACTCATCATCTATGCGCGCAAGTTTCTGCGCGACGGTGAGGTGTGCTACGCCTTCCTCAATGCGTCATCGATTTCCCGCGAAGATTAAAAATAACTCATTGAATAGGGTTTCGGAGGCTGATCAGTTGTAAAACCTTTTACACTAGTTCTGCGGATAGATGTGTGATGAGATTTCGAAATGTAATCACGAATGAACGGACAGCTAACAATGTTGGAAGATTCATTGTTACCAGCCTTGAGAGTCTAACTTTGAAAATTCACAGATAACCACTATGCACCGGTGACGTATCGTCATCTTTCACTATTCTTGACCGAATGAGAAGTGACACTTAGAGCCCTGTGTGTGCCATCTTCGAGAAATATACTGCTTCAAAGAGATTCTGGACCCCGTTGAAGTGACGATAGAGCTCGGTTTCTTTCGTATTTCAGGCCAATCATGTGTGGCGGGAGTCTTTTGCTAACACGATGCGTTGCCGTAGCATTAGTAGCAAATGCTATCGCCCGCGTGTATGCTTTCGAGTTCTAAGCGCGATTCCAAGAAGCTCTACAAGAATAATATCGCTTGATTATGGGAGGTTATTTGCGCATAGAGATGCTTCTATAGGAAAAGGAATGATGGGAAGGTTTTTCGGGAAATTAAATACCTTGGCGATGATTTCATCGAGGGAAGAATGCCGGACGACATATTTGCTTGTATCATTATATCCCTTGACCTTGCTACAACACTAATGTTGGATTTTGTCGCCCAAATCAGCAAGAACGGGCCCTAGACCTCTCACAAATACTGACAATTCAATCAATTGTTGGAGGTCTTGAATAACCATGTCTCACAGGAGAACACCAGTTTATAAAAGAGGCAAAACAATGGGTTGTTGGCTTTGATCTCGCCAAACACAAAATAAAAAGATACATATTGTACATATATATGCTGAGAAAGCATTCTGAGAAACCCCGCATAAACCATGCATGATGCACCACCAACCAAAATACTGCGCCCACACCAAATGGAAGAAAAAACGCCTAAACAATGAAACGAAAACGCCGACATGCAAGCTGAACAGGTGTACAATTACATAACATCGCGTACGACGACGCGCGGACTGCTTCTCACATCGCGAATTGGAGGCATGCGTCCAGTCTCCAGAGCGAGAGATGTATGATAAAAACTGTGCGACGAGGAGGGCTCATTGAGGAAAACATTCGACCTAGCGGGAGAGCGCGTATGGCTGAAAAGCGGATATTTCGGCATGTAAGGCGACTCTATAGGCGAGAAGCCATGCTCGCTCGATGAGTCTCGTGCACGTGAAGGAGACAATGGTGAGAACTGATGGAGGCGTTCGGAATCTGGACTGTTGAACCAGCCGTTAATAGCTGTGCCCATAGGAGAAACCAGGTCCTCGATGGATCTTGGTCGGGCGTTGCTTTGATTCGGTGTTGAGAACGCAGGGGTTTGTAGGCGTGGGCTCGAACTGAATTTGGGTAGTTGGATGCGTTGGGAAGGTTGACCATAGAGTAGCCTCTTAGGCGAGGCAGTGCTGTGTCCTGTCACGGAATGTTTGTCACCGGATACTGAAGTTCCTGGTGATAGATACGGCGACGCCTGGGGGGTTGTAAATATGGTTCTTGATTGTTCATGTCTGGAGACCAAAGATAGTTCGTTACGCGATGCAGTGGAAGGCGGAGTATCGGAGTCGTCTGAATAAAAGGAGGTTGGTGTAAGGGGGCCCAGGCGAGGTGTTTTTGGAGGTGGAATAGGCGCTTTTCTTGAAGGCACGAAAGAATGCGTGAGCAGTGCTTGTGGTGATGTGCTCCATGGAGACAACATCCCTGAGCTTTGCGTCCGTGAGCTTACTAGCTCATGGCTTCGCCTCCCTAGAGAACTACGATGAGGGATGTGTATATTGAGACCCTTTACAGTCGATTTTTGTTTTGGTGACATCTGTAATGCTCCGCTCGCCATAGGGCTTGTCGATCTTGCAAAGGGAATACCAGGTGAGACTCTTGGTATAAGTTCATAGTGAGTAGCACCTTCAGGATCCGAATTTCGCATAACAGCATCACTGTTTCTCAAATGTCTCCGAAACCAGATTGATGTCGGATGGCCAACCGTTTTGTCCTGTAGATGCATTGAAGATCTTATGGAGGTAGATCCTTGCAATCTATGACTAAGTTCCCTACAGTAAGGTACCATGAATGGAATGCTCGCAGTGATGATGCTCATACATAGGTGAACCTGCATTGCCACCAGTGGTTCCCAGATTCGATGGTGGTCATGTCGCTGTGGTATGGTAGGATAGACCCAGATGGTTCGAACAATCGTTCCTGCAATGACAAGGAGGCGAGGAGAAAAACACGAGATAACCGCCATTTTGCGGCAGAGGGGCATTTGGAGAGCCGCGACTATGCTCATGGGAATTGCAATCAGAGCGATTTCAGTCAATACGTCGAATGTACAATAGATAACCCAGAAAATGCGCTATATGAATCAGTATCTATGTTATATACGCACGATTGCTTGAATGATCCACTTACAAAATTGAGACAATGCGGACTGGTTGTTTTCCATGGACGTGGAAGTTCGCATTGAAATGCGATGGTTATCAAAGACACTAAAGTCCAGGTGGAGATGAAGATGCCAAGAGCGAGTACTACGCGGCGAAGAAATTGTCGACTTGCAGCGATATTGAAGAAAAGAACGAGAATAGAGAGCTTAGGGAAGCAAACACCAGATATGTAGAACAGTTCCGATATGTAGTATCCCTTGGAAAGAATGTCTGCCTGTGAAAAGGTCAAGGAGAAGGACATAGCGCGACCGTTGGCTGTAAGGATGAGCACAGTAGCCGATAAGCTGATGGCGAATATCTGGCTTTGTTAGCCCTATGGTGAATTTCATTAGTTCCTAGGCTCACTTACAGATGCTATGAGAATAAAACTATCGTCCAAGCCAACCTTTCGGAAAACAATCGTCTTTGCAATCTGCCGCACAATGAGAACGACCACCACAGCGATTGCAAGAGTCCATGAGACCAGCTTAATGGCGTCCATATGACCTTGTATGGACGTCATCGTAGCTTCTAAAGGAAATAAAATTCGTTGTTTGACGGAAAGCAAAAAAGAAAACACCAAGGAATGATGAAGATATCTGCGAAGATGAAGCAGTAAGGAAAGGATGATGAGACTTCCAGGAAAATGACAACCCGTCATATCATTATGAAACCAAGTGGATCAGAGATTTGGCAGGGCCACTCGCCCTGATAACTTGAAAAGACATTGGAGATATCTTTATGATATGGACAACGCCTGTCTAAGGCGACCAAGTATCCAGCGCTTCACCTGCAACAGGTCCAGGGACCAAAAACAGTGCAATCAAAATAGGTTAGTGATCCGAGAATATACAACTGGTGCCTGTTCGGCAGTGTTTTCTGCCCCATGAGACGCGTGTTGGAGAACACCCACAAGATGCACTCGATCGCAATACCCGCGAACCAAACCACTTCACCAGATGGTTCGTTCTGTAGTGTAACGATAAGTGCATTAGTGGGTAGAAAATACTTCGCCACGCAGCTAATCTTGGCCATTAGGCGCTCGCTGTGCTTTGCCTATGCCGTTAAAGGTTGGGGCGGCTGACATACCGACCGGGTTCGCGCATGAGGGCACGGCGCCTTTCTGCCTCACCCGCTTCGGGCAGCGCACTGACAGACGGGAACGGTATACACGCATAATGCCGAGTTGTATGAACCTCGACGTATCCTGCCTGTTGGGTGAACATGAGGCCCAGACACCCGCATGTCACACGAATTCCCATCGTGCCAAGTCAAAGAGTTCCACGGCTCGTTGCTGACTACAGCAGTTGGTTGCGATGTCATCACCATAACGCGACTTTCCGGATAAAAAGGTGGACGCGAGATGGGACCAAGTTCAGTTCGTGCATTTATGATGGTGTGTGTGTGGTTGACCGGGAACAAAGGAACTTGCAAGGGATCTTTTCTTAGATCTTACTGCAGACCATCCCGCTCCGGCAATTTCGAATTTCTTGGCCACGGAGCGGAAGGATCAACGTCCCGGCCTCTCCTGATAGGCGCGGTCGTGATGTAAGTGAACAAGGTACCTATTCTTGTATTTACCCAGTTGCGACGCTGACAGCTGCTGCTGTCTCTGAAGCGATTAATGTAAAAGTTTGATGAGTACAAGAGACCCAGCATGTGTGTCCATTAAGACGTGGCGAGGTGGAAGGAAAGACCGCATGGATGGTCGTATGAAGGACTGCAATGAGAATTCGGTACGATGTATGCACATTCGGAAACCGATAGGATTCTGGGATTGGTAGTGGTGACATTTGAACCATGTAGCCACCTCGCTGCCGCAACTTTGTCGAGCTCCGATGAAACTGCCCTGGGAGATCTATTCCGTTTGGGCTTTGATCACTTTGACGAACGTACTTCGCTCGTTAAATAACAACCAGATTGCCGAATTGTAATTGCAGGGAGGACATGTAGCCAAGCGCAGCGGCAGACGTGTCATACCTTGGAGTCCTCCATCTGTTTCACCTACTCAATAAAGTTATCGCTTATCTCAGACTTCCCTAAGGCACCAAGTATATTGACCTCTCAAACATAACACCAAGACATGATTGACAATGTCTAACAAAGTCAGCAGTTTGGCGCATGTTTCGTCTCCCAGATATCTCAGGACTAATGGTGACATCCATCGATGGCGAGCTATAGCACCGAAAGGCATATTTACGGCCTGGCATGTGCGGGCCATTTTTACCCATGGTAAGGCGTTGAGGTATGGTTGGGCTGCTGCCTTGGCCATCAAGAAACCAGCGCATGTATATCCTGAGCACTTCAAGTGAACTGCACACTGAGAAAATAACGGGGAGCAACCCCATTAATCGGATTATACTGTATGCTTGACAAAATACTGCCAAAATTCTTCACGAAGAAGGGTATTGAATATTGCGATACATTGGATCACATGTGAAATGGTATCCCTGAAGTCACAGAGTCATGTACGTCGTAAGTCTGACCCCACGACTCTTGTAGGTGAGCAAGTGCCCATTCGCACGTCCGGCACACCTGTATATTTCATAGATAGAATACCCAAGCTTATCACGGATATCTGTCAAGGACCGAAGTGGTGACGAGGTTCGGGTGCGACTGCTGGCCTTGCGTAAGGCGTCAATACGACCCACGCACAAAGTACTTAACACAATATCTGAAAATGTGAGCTGAGCCGCGCCCTATCCCTTGCCCATATTTGGGCGAAAGATGTGTTCAAGAACCCAAGCTACGACTTTGCCCGTGTCCATGGGGAGAGCGCGAGTTCGTACTTGCGGCAGCCTTTTGTATTCTGATCGCCTAGGTCTTTTAGCTTTGCGTGACTCAGGTACCCGATCAACGACCATGCTCAGCCTTGAGGATCAATAAATATCACACAGAGTACTATAGACCGTCGTCAGAGGGCGGAGAGCATCAGGGCAGTGCGGATGAGCCGAACAAGCATTTCCACTTCTTTTTCGCTCCGGATATACAGGTTCGCGGAAAGGGGAGCGGGCCCGGAACTCGACATGGAGCTCGGCTCAATGCCTTGATCAATTGGGCCGAACGTGAGATTCCGCCCAAGATCTTGTCAGCGGAGCGGGATTGGGCCACTATGCCAAAGGCTGTAGCCGTACTCTCAACTGTTGGGACGGAAAGCTGACGAGAGATCTTCGCTTTTGGCCTGCAACGTAAGTATATGCATATGGATGAAAATCCAGAGTATATTTTGAGTGGGATATGCACCAACAGTGCGAACCACTTCGAGCAAAGATCAAACACACATGATCCATGATTGCGCAATGCTCGGTAGCTTGATTGACTGCTGGAAACGTTGGACACCTCGAACTAGAGGGTGTACGTACTACGTGTTTACATAGCAGATCACACTACGTCCGACCATCATGATCGACAACCCCTTTCTCGTACGTTCTACGCGTATCGCACGATAAGTTCGGTGTGATTATTGATCGACGATGAGCTTAGCTGTTCTTTTCCCGTTTCAGGTACACACTTATCAACAACGTCCATAACATTAGTTGCAGTGTTGCCCTATACGCCTCATCATGATTGGGTTTCATCATTATCAATTCACTGCCTGTGCACCCATTGTAAGATTGTCGGGCCGCAAGCATCGCCAGGACTTCCTTGGCTGTGAACTTGGCGCCCGGACAGACGTAGGACAAACCCATACGTAAGACCGATGAGCTGAATGATCCAGTGGACGCGCATTCACATGAAATATGTGATACGAGAAGAAAAAGCATATGTGGCTGAGCCAACCAACTGTTGGTTTTGCATGCCTCTTGAGCCGCATCCAGTAGCGCGCTAACGCTTCAGGCTCGTTTCGTGGACCCAGTTCGGACGGCGGCTCCCATCCATTCCTGGCTCTTTAGATGCACCGCCACCCAGTTGTCGCCAATTTGGGACGCGCACACCCTGTTCAAATGCTGAAACGCTAGGATCCCCGTCGATCACAGCCGGCGCCTTACCTTGGGCGGAAATGGTGAGATCCGGGACCACGCTGCGCTAATCAGGATCCACTCAAGGCGAATAACAAACGAAACATAATGCTTGCAAAAAGCTTGTGGAAGCGCTAACTCCTTCTGGTTCGTCAGGAGCATGACGAAGCTCGTGGGTCCGACACGTCTGTGGTCTTGGGCGTCTGCAATCCAAGACCTTGGCAAAGTAAATACAATTACCTGACAGCGTTGAGTCCGTGTGACGGACGTGTGAGTGTTCCGGTTTAAAGCCGTGCTGATGCCTCAGCCCAGCCGGAGTGAAGGGAGGGTCATAACACTCGCTTTTTTCCGCTGCTCGCAGCTATAGTCACTCATTTGGGCCCGCGTTTCCCTTTCCCCCATTCCCCACTTCACTTCCTCGGTGTATTGTTATAACCTTTTTTATCTTTGCACAAAACTGTGGGTCACATACAATGAACGCCTCTGCAACTGTACGGGCGTCATACATCCGCCAGGCGCGGGTGAGCATCATCGGTCATCCGGTTATAGCACTGCGACCACGCTCTGCTCACGAAGATAAACTCAGAGATTTCGTTCATGTTGATCATGTCGAGCACCGTCAAAAGTGTGAATCGGAACGAGTTGCTGCACCCGCTGTCTTTGATCTGGAGAAAGATGCGGATATGAAGGAGATATACATCGAGGAAAAGTTCTCCGACTCGACCGACAACCTCTCCGTTATGGAATGGGAAGAGTCCAGCTCCATCAGAGTACGACTAAAGAAAATGGTTACTGTCTTTCCCTACCGCGACCCCATCTACCTCGTCGCCATCATCTTCCTCCTTGGCTCCATCGATCTCGTCATCAATGCCTTCTTCGACCTACTACCCCGTCTCTACCCTACCTCTGCCTTTGCCGAATCAGAGCAGGATATAGTCGCAGTCCCACTCACAATTCTCATCGGCTCGATCCTCTTTTTCATCGCCGGTGTCTTCGACACTTTTGGCGCCCTCAATGCCGACAGTGGCCAGATTGGAGCCACCAAGTCCAACCCCAACAAAGTCATATACCGACCTGCTCTCGTTGGAACACCACAGTTCCGCTGGATCCCTTCCCGGACCAAGCTGTTGGACCTCACAATAAACAGCTTGGCATTCCAAGCAGGTCTTATCGTCCTCTTTGGCGGTGTCATCTTCATGTTTGGTGGCATCGTGGATTTCCCCGGTGTGGTGGATGAAGAAAGTCCATACTTCTCCTCCATTGTTTTTGGACCTCAGGTCGTCCATGGAATGTTGTTTTTCGTGGGCAATGCCATGCTGGCGTTTTCAGAGCAGGAGCGCTGGTACAAACCCAAGATCACAGACCCAGACTGGGTAAGCGCTTTCTTGAACACAATCGGAGGTTTCGCGTTCATGATGGCGGGCATCTTTTTGTTTCAGAAGGAGACATCTGTCGAAGAGGGTGAGATCCGGGCTGCGATTGCAGCTATGGTCGGAAGTTGGGCGTTTTTGGTCGGAAGCGTCATTCGCTGGTATGTTGTTTTGGAGGTTTCGTAGTCGCTTTTTCTTTGTTATATTCCGGCCGTGTTTCTTTCTTTCTTTTTTGCAAGGTGTTGTTGGCTTTTCTTTTCGGGCAGGGTTCGGCTGGACTTGGGCGGACTTCCAGGTTGCTAGGGTAATGATTTCCTTTCACACGGCGTACGAGAATGTATTCATTATTGCGGGGACATGATACCAAAAAGTTTTGCTTTATAAAGGGATACACTTCTGTAGAAGTGGAGCGCATGTAGCTTCGTCGAAAATTGACGCGCAAGACCAAGGTTTGAGGTCGTTGCTTGATTGAAGAGACCGGGTGGTATTTGTTCCGAAGTAGGCCTTTTCCAGTGCATAATTTGGATCTGAATGCATATTTAAGTGCTTCATAACTAGCCACAGTGTGTCAATAACAAGGGTTTTATCACTTCATCGTCTCCCTTGTTTCTCCGAGGATCAACCATTGGCCGAGAAGACAACTGGCTGACTCCATTAATCATCGGTTTACGTATTCAGAATCTATGTACAACAGATTACCGATGAATAATGGAATGGCTTCATGTTGTTGTAACAAAATCGCTGTGAATTGTTGTTTCGAGCGTAGGGTGGGTAACTTGATCGGTTTGGTCGAGTCGCAAAATCTTGCCAATAGGTCTATACTACATCACTTCACCCACAAAGACAGATAAATATTGAAAATTCTTGAAAGTCGCCTATTACAGATCAGCGTTTGAGTGTAGATTGAGCAAGCGACATCAGCATACGTTTGCAGCATTCGTTGCATATTGTGATCAGTCGACGAGGGGGCGGGGGGTTGTGCAGGAAGAAACCCGATTTGATCTGCTCTAAGAATCTTTACCACGTACTCTCCCTGGCCGCAGCTAGACTAGTGGGTAGGAATAGTAAGAGAAAGATAAGTTGTACCACTCTTCCGTACCGCCTACGGGCTGTGATCATGATGTTAATCCTCCGCACTCGAGCCACGGCCGCCGCCCACAATCTAGTCATTTTCCTAACCTACTTGACATAGTCACAGTACCTATATTTCTCTTTCTCTAGGCCATCCAAACTACCATGAGCATTCTTGTTTTGCAATTGTGTATCCACAACGCCAAGAGTGGCGCCCGTACCATCATTTTCAACTATCTATCAGGAGTCAAATAGACCATTGTCAACAAGGGCACACAATGTTTGATTTCATGGCTGATATTTGTACTCGATATTCGGGCTAAGCTGAGGAATAACATCATAGAAATTGAAAGCAAGGATTCGCAGAAAGTCACTCTGACACTTGGGGTGTTGCATCGGCTGGCTGCAAAAGGCGATCATGTTCGATATGCGGAATGAGCCGAGCAATGTCAGTATGATGACAGAAAGCAAGGACTCTCAGAAAGTCGCTCTGATGCTGAGGTTCTACAGCGGCCGGAGGTCAAGTGACTGCCTAAAATGACGACATTTTTGATTTTCCTTTCATCTGCCTTGCCGATTAGGGGGGGCAGGGTGCCAAGAAAAGTTACACGTGAACATCTCATTCACTTTCACCCACCAGGCAACTGGCATATTATTGCTTTTCCAAGCCCGAGAAGCTGACGGAGCATTGTGTTTTCACGCCCCAGGCAACTGGCAGAGGATTGCCGGGCGTCATATGCAGGAGGTTACTGCAGCTTTCACTCTCACCCAAATTGCAACCAGTGAACATCTACTGGCAACCTGCCCTTAGTACCCTTTCCACACACTATTAATATAGCTGCAATTTCCTCAGTTGCAAATTCTCTTCCAACACACTTCTCAACCATCAGTCTATTCTTGACATTCTCAACCATCAATTGATTCTTTATACACCCAACCATTTCTCCACATATTCAACCATCCATCATGTCACCTATCGCAGTACTGGTTCTTGCGGTGTTGAGGGCAACTAGAATGATATCAGACCCCCTACTCCGCCCCCAGAACTCGAATATCACGAACGTCGAGTTCATGAGTGGCTGTGGAACTAGCCAACAATGTTCCAACGTATATGGTGTCTCAGGACACACCCTCAACAACATGATCGGCTTCGCTGAACTGGATGTCATACCAGTCATCAGCCCAACCCCCACAGCCGATGTCGCTCCCGGGGAGCAACTTATCCCAGACCGGACTGTATACGATCCAACGATCGAACCCGGGACTGGGATTGTCTTCGAAACCATCCAGGATATCCCTGGATACTTCAACTCTCTCGCCTCGGACCTCGTCATGGGACTGGTCCATACTCTACTGCTCATGGTGTACTACACCACCTTCAAACCTGTTTGGTTTGCTGCGAGCTTTTGCATGGAGATGCCTCAGATTGATGGGTACGTATATATTGTATGCAAGATCTCACCACGTTCATCAACTAACTCGATCAGAGAATTCATGTTCGAAAAAGCCGTTTCTCGACACCCGTATGCGATTTACCTCTGGCTATCACTGGCCATGCTCACCCTCCTGGAACCATTCCTGACATTCGGTTGGGATTGTCTTCACCAAGAGTTCCGCGATTTCCATGAAGCAGTTATGAAGAGGCTGCGGAGGTGCGAAGCCAAGGCTTGGGGACAAACCATATTGATCAAGGCCCTTGGGGAAGCCAAGGATCGCTACAATCTCGCTTTGGAGGTTCTTACCGCATCACACGAACACGCAAAGACTCGGATCTCGAGGATTGAGGAGCAGTTCGTTGATATTTTTCAAGCCGTCACTCAGCAAGATGAGGACGTGAAGAAGATGGCACAGACCGTTGGGAATATGGTGCGCGACCAGCACTCACTTCAAGAACACGTCGGCGATGTTTCCTCGAATCTCTACAGGGAATACGCCGAACTGGGAACTTGCTTGGATCGCTTTGTCCAAGCCCACGGTGGGAACGGCATAACTCTCGGCCACAGTCTCGACTGCCTGGAACTCAAGGTCTATGCTCTGGAGCGCGAGAAAGCCGCCCAGGCCGCTGAGATCGAAACCCTCAAGAGCGCTCTGAGCAAGGCGGATGAGGAAAAGGCGGCCATGATCAACTTCTACCGGACACAAAGGTTCAACAACTTGGCCACCAACGAGTACTACCAAAGGGCCATTGCCGAAGCCCCTGAGGATCAGCTAGCACCGGCGTTCATGGCTTATATGACAGCCATGCATTCACAGATGAATGCAACGCTCCAAGGCGTATATCGCTCGGCTGGTGGTCACCCATATACACCCCAGCCAAATATGCCGCAGGCTAGATCACAGAACAACGGCTACGGCAGATCTCCCAATGGCTCCCCTGGACTTGGCTCTTCTCGGTACGGTCCCGCCGGCGGCCTTCCTTTCAATCAGAGGAAGTAAGAGATTGCTTTTTTGCCTTTTTTCTTTACCACTTTGTTTGTGTTTACTCAACATGTATTGGGATTCGATATTGATCTGGGGCGTTCAATGGCTTTGTACTTCTGGGTCTTAGGATTTTGGTCTGGGATGACAAGACATTTGTATGACTGGCGTGGCGTATGCGTTTGTTATCTGCTCTTCTTGATTTTAGTACTTGCTCTTTCCGCTGCGACTTGCTCTTTTATTGCCTCGATTTGGAGGATCGCTACCCACGCCAGTCATGTAGTTTTCGAACATCATTTGTTCAATGGGTAACTCTGGAAGCCCAGCTGGCGGTACTGAACGGGGGTGCAACTTGAGCATGGTATTATATACACTGCTCAAAATGTACCGCTCTTTCAGCACCGGTAGCTGGACTTCCAGTTACTCGTTTTATAAATGATATTGTTGAAGCTTTAGATACATATTACGGTCAGTCACAGAGGGGGTTTCGTGGACAAAGAAATGCAATCTCATTATCTCCGAGAAGCTCTGCGCTAAGTACGTAGCTGTGCAAAGATGTTTGGAATCCCTCGACTCAGGTAGCGCCTTGTTACGTGACGAACACCAGAATCACTGCGGGCTCAAAAATCAGCCCCAAAACGAGGCAAAATACAAAAAAGACTTATGTTTCATGTCGACGCTGTGAGGCCGGCTGATGTGCGAAGGGGCTAAGCCTTGTTCGTGGCTTGCACTGCCCCACGGCAGCGGAGCTTCATAACTCAACGTTACTCTATCAACTACTCTGACGATTATCCAGTACTATCATATTCCGTTACCCGTCATAACTAGCTGCAAGCAGTTGTTGATTGTTCCAACCTACCCCGAAACTTACTGCCAACACTGTGGATTGAAGTAGGGAGCCTTGGGTGTTCGCCCCGCCCTTCCCCACACCAGTACCGGTGGTTTCGAAAGTGCAGTGGTCCACGATGTCTTTTGGATTTGGTGTCGGTGACTTCCTCGCAGTGCTGGGACTTTTTGAGCGAATCGCGATCGAACTTAAGAATTACCGCGATGCTCCAGCACAGTTCCAAAATCTTTCTGTCGAACTCGACTTGCTACAACGTACTCTCATGCACGTGGTCCAAGCCCAAAAAGACGATCAGGAAGACAAGCAGATTCTCGAGCAGATACGAGCCATAGTCAGCCATTGTCACCAGCCTTTGCAAGCCTTCATTGACAAGCTACTATCAAAAGAACGTTCCTTGGGCCACTATCGGACTGCACGACTCAACGATGTAGGGATCCGTATGAAATGGTCTATCGTCACGCAGAAAGATGTCGAAGAATTACGAAAAGTCATACTGTCGGAAATGGCTGCGATTAATATGCTTCTGAGCGTGCAGCAGCTGTCAGTATAGTCATGCTGAGAGCTGCGCGAGTACTTACACCATTGCCAGGACCAATCTCAGAAGATTATCTGCTCGCTCAATAGACTCTCGTCAAAGCTCCGACGCCATTTTGGATAGGACCTCCATGATCTTGGACCTGGTCCATAATCTGCCTGATTCAATCGCCAATATACATCTGGAAATCGCTCGGAACGGAGAACAACAGATCACACGGGACACAAAGATGACACAAATAGTTGCAGGGCTAACATCTCAGGTAACGGAAATATTTGTTCAGGGGAAAGATAGTATGGGGATAATGCGCATTGGTAAAGCTCGGATTTTGCGAGAAATAGCGCGATTGCATTCCGTCTTGAATGACTTGAGGAAGCTTCTTTACTTGTGGGTTCTTGACAGGATTGCCGATGTACCGTATGGGCTAAATCTTTAGGTTCTCGAATTATTCGAAAGAGATGCTGGAAGCCATTAGCCAGAACACGTTAGTTGTCTTCCCCCATCTAAGTGGCTAAAGATTTCGAACACTGAAACCGCCTAGCCGCATGCTTCTTGATATAGCAGGCCATATGAAAAGACTTGCTCGAGCCATCGAATCCATTCCCCTACATCTCTCGGTCGACATAATCCGCCTTGACGATGCGCTTGGAGAAAGCTGGGGGTTGCCTTTCCAAGCGTGTCAAACATGGAATGTAAGATGATTTGGTCGATGCAATGCCCTTTGTGCATTCAGCTGACTAGCTGTGTCTGAAAAGTCGTTCACAGACATACTAAAGGTAGTTGTCTACGGAAACCAGCGACCGGGATTGGACTACATAACACGAGGCCAATTTCAACTCACTCTTGCGAAGACGGGGCGTTCGATCGGCCAAAAACATCGGTGGGACTCGACTATTAGACCAGGTGCCCACATAAAGCAAGCAATGGTTGTCCCTGAGCTTCCTATTTCAAAGGATACTTGCCCTTATCCCTCTTGTGCTGGGACGTTATTGAGCCAAGTCGATGAAGTTGACAACATATGGTGGGCAGCCCTGTGAGGCTAAAGATTCGAGTACTAATATGTTGCAGCTCAAAATGTGGTCGTTTGTCAAGTTCCACGCTTCTTCATACTCTACTGCTGAAGTTATATGCTAGAGTCCCATCTTCGTACACACCGTTTGACCCTACCACAGGTCAGGTTGGCGTGTATGCGCGTGGACAGAAAACTAGCAGCTCGGCGATTGGTCCTGTTCAGCTTTGTGAAAACTCCATTAGCTTGTTTCGAAGGATACAGGTATATGAGCGGCCGCCTCTTCTAACTTCAGCAGAGGAAGCGTACGAGAAGCTTCAGGATGATGCATCTGACTTCCAAGCGAATCTATACCTTGGATGGCAAGCGCTCAGTGAAGGGCGAATTGATGAAGCTACCCATCGCCTGAGACGGGCGATAGCGACAGGTTCGTCTATTGACTCATTATATAAGTATATAGGAACTGACGTGTAGAGTAGAACCTAAAGATTGGATCCCTCACTATCTTTTGGGGAGAGCCTTTATAGCAAAAGGTCGTTTTGAGGAATCATATGATGCGCTACAACTTTGCGTTACATATAACGGCATGATTTCTGATGTTTGGATTACGATTGGGGCACTTTACTTTAAGATTAATCAATATCGAGACAGTCTTGATGCTCTAGCAAGAAGCATCCGATTGAATCCGGATACGTGGGAATCATGGTATAATCTCGGGGTTCTTGTAAGCACATGATCCAAACCCGATTCAGTGACTAACACTTCCCACCAGTACGACAATTGTAATAACCAAAGTGACGATGCACTAGACGCCATGCAGAGAGCTTTAGATCTGAATCCAGCTCTCTCCAACGCGCATATCCGAATGGAAAAGTTAAAAGCAGGGGTCCATGGTACTATGCTTACGGAAATGGTGGAATGTGGCTTGCTCCAGGCTTCAGACCCTATACCTACATACGTCGAAGATATGGGAATCCAAATCAATCCTCTCATTTCTATTGAGCATGACGAAGAATGGGATTCCGAAAGTATCGAAGAGGAGGATGTGGATGATAGAAGCTATTAGGAGTTCTAAAAAAATTAAGTTTATGTAACTATGACATTTGTAGTACAGTGAAGTCTTTACATCTTACTATGATACAAAGGAAATGCAAAACAGTTTGAAAGCATGTCACGCCTGCTCCCAAAGCCAACTCCGCATCTTGGCAAGTACCAGCCGGGGAAGGCGGGGCACCAACAGCTACGTCATGCTATACTACATCCCCAGTTCCATTGAAGGAACACCCAACAATGTAACCTCGATGCTTGGTAAAAGCTAACGGCTGCGACTATGGAAGTGATGTGCATAAGCGGGGTACCTTCAGAGTGGTGCGCAAAGGTGGGGGAACGCGCATTGTGAAAAGAGGTGATGTACCTTCTTTTCCACTACATCAACTCTTTTCACAATGTTAAGTACAAAGATACTTGCGATACTTGCAATTGTACAGCGACAATATGCAGATGCACAGGAACTCGATTATTCACAATTCGTGAACCCGTTTATAGGGACCGAGGGCGCTATACCCGGCTATGCATGTAAGTCACCTGATCTTCGGCCTCTATCGCGATTCCATCGCTAATACTGTAAAGATGGAGGCGGCGATGTCTTTGTTGGTGGTGCAGTTCCTTTTGGTATGGTGAAACTAGGCATAGACAGCTATGAAGAGCCTATCAATCAAAGCGCGCTGAATGGCGGTTATACCCCCCAAGGTCATGTTACGGGTATCAGCCTGTTACATCAATCCGGAACAGGAGGAGGACCAAAATATGGGTATCCTTCTCAAATGCCGCTTACAAAAATTGACGGCGATGTCAACTTGCTGGATAATCGCACATATTGGCAAGATCGCGTATGTTGAGTAACAACATTCACCCTGCATGTGCTGACAAAATTTCAGGTTGGTGAAGATGTAGCTTCAGTGGGCTATTTTCGCACAGAGTTTGAATCTGGTGTACAAGTCGAGTTGGCAGCTTCACGACACGCAGGGCTGTATCACTACACCTACCCATCAAATTCAGAAAGACACGTACTGGTGGATCTATCGCATTATCTCCCACATCCAACACGATCTTGGGATTGTCAGTTTTACACAGGCGGCGAAATCGAGATTCAGCCTAATTCCAGCATCTACACTGGCTATACCTCCATTGCTGGGGGATGGAACATTGGCGCACCAGTTACCGTTTACGTATGCGGAGAGTTTGACAGCGTACCCGATGAGGCGAAGGCGTTCAAAGGCCAAAACACATTTCCTGTGAGTCGTCATTTTCGGACGTTCAACAACGGTACAACGCCGCAACCCACATTTACTGGTAACACTGCTCGCTCAGGGCCTATGAACGACCGTATTGGTGCGCTCTTCACTTGGAGCAACGCCACTAAGATTAAGTCCCGAATTGGAATATCCTTTATGTCTGTGGATAAAGCTTGCGCATACAAGAATGTTGAGCTGTCAACTTGGTCCATCGAAGACACCGCTCAGGCAGCGCGCGACGAATGGAACCGCGATGTGTTTTCCAAAATCCGGGTTGACACATCTGAGCGCGCAAATAAAACGCGGCTTGCGCTGCTGTATTCAAGCTTGTACTTCATGCACCTCATTCCAAGCGAACGGGTAGGTGAGAATCCATTATGGGAGTCCGATGAGCCGTCTTGGGATGACTTTTACACAATGTGGGACCTTTTCCGAAACCAAGTTTCACTATGGCATCTCATTCAACCGAGTTACTACGAATCGATGATCAGATCCTTGATCGACATATTCAAGAATGAAGGGTATCTGCCAGATGGGCGATCTGGAAACTACAATGGGCTGGTACAAGGCGGATCAAATGCCGACAATGTTCTTGCTGACGCTTACGTCAAAGGATTGAGGGGTATGATCAACTGGACCGAGGGCTACACAGCAGTCAAGAAAGATGCCGACGTTGTGCCTTTCTTTGACCAAAATCCCGTTGATCCACAAGGGTCTCTCAAAGAGGGTCGGTCAGCGCTCGATGATTGGATACCGCTTGGTTACGTTTCGGCAGACCGGAATACGCGCGCAGTATCGAAAACGGTAGAATATTCACTCAACGACTTTGCTATAAGTCAGATTGCAGCAGGGGAAGCGCCCGGCGACCAGGACCTCTACTTGCGCAGGTCGGCAGGCTGGCAATTGAGCTGGGATTCCGAAGCATCGAGTCGCAACTTCACTGGCTTCGTTATGCCACGATATTCGAACGGTACTTTTCATAAAACTTATAATATTACAAATTGCGGCGAATGTAATTGGCAGGATGAAAGCTATGAGGGAACTGCGTTCGGTGGGCCAATTCGACCGCGTGTTTATCGTTTGCAATGTACTGATTTGGACAGAATACTCATTCGTCATCCCTCATGACGTATCACGCATGATTACCCTCATGGGCGGCCCTTCCCACTTTGAAGAGCGACTCGACTACGTCTTTCAACCAAACACATCTGGTGTCGATCTAGGTGTTAATGGACTCGGAATCACGACGATTAACAATGTGGCCAATGAACCTGACTTTCAAACACCGTACCTTTACAATTATCTCAACAAGCAATGGAAGAGCGTTGAAAGGTCCCGTCAGCTCGCCAACGATTTCTATTTCAACACCACAAACGGTATACCTGGAAATAGTGATGCTGGCGCATTAAATTGTTGGCTAGTTTGGCAAATGCTGGGCTTGTATCCAGTCGTTACAACACCAGTGTATCTCCTCGAGAGTCCTTGGTTTTCAGATATCAACATCACGGTAAACCATGACAAGACTCTTAGGATCCGAGCTGAAGGATTGGATGATGGGGATGGGAAGCAAGGATACTATGTGCAGAACGTAAGTATCAACGGTCAAAAGTGGGACAAGAATTGGTTCGAGCATGAGGATGCCGGTGGAATTATGATAGAGGGCGGAGAAATTGTGTTTAAACTGGGTCATAAACAGACAGTATGGGAAACAGGCGATGTACCCCCGAGCCCGGGTCATCAGGAAGTTGATGTCGGGAGTAGCATATGATTCGGATCCAATCAATAATGGAAACTGCAACTGTAGTCGGACGTCTTGGCGAGTGTGACTGTTAGGTGCATAAGAGAACGGCAACTAGCATATACTACCCGGCAATGCATGCCTGCCTCGACGGGAAATCAACGTTAGTCTATGAAAGCTTGCAAAATTCCATAATATTTCACAGCTACCAAAAGCGCTTGAAATGTGGTCGCCGGCAATCCTCTCCACACGTCGGAAACGCAAGGCAGGATCTTGTGGAGTGTTCTTGCAACCATTCAATCGGTCCGCCGAGCACGGCTCACCACTATACTCACTGTCCAATACCATGATATCGCGAACCCGCTTACATCCAGTCCCCTGTATACATGACGTCGAGTGATGTAGTAAGAAAAGGCCTCTAAACCTTATCAACTAGCGTCCAAAACCCCATATATCTCTGCAGCCAAGAACCTACCTACCAGCCCATTCAGCTCTGACATCCTGCGCAATTACCACAAAAAGCATCAAGACAAACCACCATGCCACTATCTAAACTCACCTTCGTAATCTCCGCCTTCCTCACCGCCACCCTCGCTTCCACCCAAAAATCACGAGGCTGCGGCATCTCATACAACGACCTCAGCCTCGGAGCCCAATACGTCGATTCCAGCGGCCAGAATCGCAGCTACTACGTTCACCTCCCGTCCACGTACAAGAGTGACACAGCGTACCCGCTCGTCCTCGGTTTCCATGGCAGCTCGAGCAGCGCAATGACGGTCCCGCTAGACACGAATCTCAACAACGAGACGTATTCCGGCGATAAGATTATGGTGTATCCGGAGGGTGTGGGGGGAAGTTGGGCGGGGCCGTCGTATCATAATGGGACGAGTGTGGAGGAGGATGTGCAGTTTGTAGCTGATGTTATTGGGGATGTGGAGAAGAAGTTTTGTGTTGATGAAGCAAGGGTATTTGCATTTGGGTAAGTTTTGCTCTTTTTTTTTCCCTTTTCTCACTGAGTACAATTCACGACTTTTTGTCGATTTCGACATGTGGATGTCGGTATCTCTGGGCGGTGTTGACGTGGGAACGTGTTAGTATGTCTAATGGCGGCGGCTTCGTTGGAACACTGGCGTGCGATGAGAAGGGAAGTTCGCTTTTTGCGGGTCTGGCGGCGCATTCGGGCGCTTTCTACACGGATATCAATGGGCCTGATAATGGGTGCGCGCCGTCGAAGGAGGTACCCTTGCTGGAAATCCATGGTGGAGCTGACAAGGACGTTCCGTATGCGGGCGGCAAGGGTGAAGGCGGCGAATTGCCTTCAATCTTCAACTGGCTGAACTGGTGGGCGCTGCGCTACAAGTGTGAGAGCAGCAGTGTGAATATTACATTTGGGAGCGAGGTGCGACATTGGTCCTGGGGTTGCGGTGGGAAATCTGGTCTAATACAGCATTACGAAGTTATGCATTTGGGTAAGTCTATCCTCTTTTTTCCCTCTGGACTTGAAGTATCTTCTGTTTGATTGTGGCTAACCAGCGATCAAGGCCATGCTTGGGCTGATACCGAACCCAATTTCTCGCAATCGTATGCGCAACAAGGACCTACGGTCATTCAAGCGAGCAGAATCATCATGGATTTCTTCGGCTCGGTTTGAATATGATGGAATGATTTGAGAGAGAAGACCTGCTTGAAAGAAGGGGATTAACGCGCCATAATGTAATGGAACAACAAGTGCGTGGCGTCCCTGATGGCTCTAACGATGTGTACACACAAAACAGCGGTGGCAATCGTAATGTGGAGGAACGACTTAATGTGCAAAAAAAGTCCGGCTTGGACGCATCTATAATACTATGACTATTCATGATCCTTTCGTTCTAATGCGGTTAATATGTCAAACCCATCTGACACATTTGACACGCGCGTCACGTCCGAATGAATGCCTGAAACGCATGCCGAGACAACGTGCTACGGAGCTCAGCCCCATCGCCGCGTCAATTACGATTGGCCTGGGAAACGCGATAATGGACACCGGCATCATGCTTGCTACTCGATCATTTATGTGGCACAGAAGCGAGGCTATATGCGACGATGCGTATGGAGATGCTTTGACGGTGAAGCGGAAGAGTGGCACTGCGAGCGTTCTCCAACTGCTAGTCGGACGTTGCACAATAGGAGATCACGCATCAACAGCCTCAGGATCCCGCTCATGCCGTCACGCGCTCGCGGTGATGGCGAGGAGAAAAGGGGACTATGCACTCAGGAGCCTTAAGGGAATATAAATGTAGTATACCTACGAGCCAACTTGACAATCAGCTTCACTTCCAACTTCAAGATCTCACCGTCTAATACTCTCTTCTCGATTCGCCGTCTGTGACAGCGGATTCTTTGACCTGGTGTCTTTAACTCACGTATATATCTCTTTCTCTCATCAAGCATATACCCAACTCTTCACATAACCAACCATCCATTAAATCAATCCAAAATGCGTTTCACCATCGCCACCCTCTTCACTCGTAAGTCGATGGCAGCCCATATATCAATAACACTTTGGAGCTAACACTTTCAAGTTGCCGCCATGTCCATGGCTCAGGTTACACCAAACAACGCGGGTGCTAAGAATGTTGGCCAAGGCAACGGCGCGCAGTTCATCACAGGTGGATGTGTGTCAGATGCCGACTGCAGCTCAGCGTGCTGCGCCCAGGTTGCCTCGACTGGCAACGGTGTGTGCAGTGCTGAAGTAGCGAGTCAACAGAACGGAAAGACGGGTTGCGGTTTCAACGACCCCAATGCCGCCGCCGTGATTGCGGCCGCGAAAGCTCAGGTTGAGCGCCAGGGATTCAAGAGGGTTGTCCGAAAGGAATAGACGGCAGAAGCCTTAGCCCGAGGAAGTGCTGGAATAACGACCCCAAATACCGAATCAATGATCAAACAAATTGTAACGTCCCTTCATGCGTGTCACTTTCCGCGAATATTGTGCATCGCAGTTTCATGTCATAAAGCTGCTTCCCGCACCAAAGGCTGCCCACAGCCTTGTGACCCATAGTGCGAGAATCAGCTCCCTACACGTCTGGTCGAGATCACTCCTCAACTCGATTGTTGGCATCTTTCCTCCATAGCCCATCTTCATCACTTCAGTGGCAACGACATGGCCTTCTGAATCTTTCCACTGACTAGGCTCCATTTCGTTCTTGCGCTGTTTAATGGCTTTGGTGAAACCTCCAGGCTTCCCACATGTCATTATCTCAACAGGCCGGCTGCCCTGTGTCGGCACGTGTGCAACATGCCAGCGGCGTAGCCCAAACCGCATCTGCAAAAAGCCTGGAAGCGCACGAGCAGACTTTCCCTGAACGTAGTATTCATTTATGAGGAAAGGCGGATCGTGGGCTTCGTAGAGGAGGCCACTGCTGGTGAATGGGATATTTGGTGCGCCAGCTTGGAGCATCGTGACTTCTTCTGCGCGTAATCTGCGCATTCCTAGCCTGTTGATGGACGTATCGAGGAGGGAGGAGAGTTGGTAGGCGGGGGCATTGGGGGTGTGAATGAAGGTACCATAGATGGTGAAGGTAGTGGCTTTCTCATCAACGACGGCGTAGGCAGGCGGTAGTTCTGGTGGGGGCAATGCAGGAGCGATCGCAGGTGCCACCTCAGACTCTGGGGGATCCCGTTCCGCCGGTGTGGGTTCAGACGGTGGTGGTAGCGGAGTTGTCGGTACACTTGTACGCGGGGATGCGACGACGGCTTCTTCGTATGAAGGAATCGGCGGGTCAGTATGCGATGGAGCCATGGTGTAGAGAAGTAAGGAGGAGCAAAGGAGCAGAGATTTGGTCAGTCTGGCTGACTGCGTGTAAGAAAGTTCATTATACAAAGCCTGAGGGGCTGTGTTCTGCCAAGCATTTTGTTGTGAGGCGGAGGAACGTACTGGCGGGATCCCCAGATGACGCGGCGGGTGGCGGTCCCGTGCTCTCCGAACTTCCATGACGCACTATTCACTTCTCCAATATCACAGACAGTATGTATGTACCTATATGTACATATATGTGCGCTATCTCTATGTCTTGAAACAATGACTCTTTGTCACTTCCTCACCAATTCCGAGCCTGGTGTCTCTTGTGCTGTACGCCGAGGTACAGCAATGGCCTCGGGTAGTACAGTTGAACGGCGAGCACAATGGACATGACATGTTAAGCAGACGTGAGGACTGATTTGCCTTTGTCATTGAGCCTCGACAAAGCCTTCCAGATGGTTTCCTACTACATCTCGTCACGTGAGAGAAAGAGCTCTACAGCGCGACATTCACGTCAACCTACATGACGGGCTTGGCAGATAGACAGCCGCGAATCCTCCTCAGCCTCAACGCATGCGTTTCCTCCGCTGATCTGTTACAAACCAGCTTGCCTGAGGATGGCGGCTCATAAAATCGGACGACAAACAAGCAAAAAAATACGCAAACGGCTATGGCATCGCTGGGCCAAGACGCGAGGCGCCCCTTCATGCCGAATTGGATGCACAAGTAACACGTCCAAGAAAGGCTTCTACCAGCCTCAGCTACCGTGCACATCCGCCCCCATGTATTGCGCCTGTGAGAGCATGTGCTATTGGCGGTGATTGTTTACAACAACTGTTTGGTCCAACTGGCTCTCCAGGTGTTGGGTGGGCCAAGATGTGCGAAACTTGTAATGTGTCGCAGAGTTGCCTCAAATGTCGGGATTCGTGCATCCAGGCCAACACCAAGCCTTGGTACTAAGGCATTCACGTACGATTTTCCAAAACTTCCTGCAGCGCGCATATATATAAAGGCCACAACGTGCTGATGGGAGAACTCGGTAGGAGTAATTCACTGTTGATCAGTCTCTTCACACATTCTTTGTTCTCTTCTCTTTCGCTTCTTTAAGTCTGTACGCTCGTTTCATACGACTTTCTTCGACACCTTTTGGCTTGTTTTCATCAGATCAACAATACTCATAATGTATACCGCAACCCTCATTACTATCGCGAGCTTGGTTCTCAGCGCAGTGGCCGCGCCAATTACCGCATCACCCATGGACCTCGGCAACGGCCACATGCAACTATCATTCTCCATCGACATCAGCAACAAGGAAGCAGAAGTAAATGCACTCGATGCCAACGAACTCTTCGCATTCACTTCCATGCACGCTGTCCACGCCGTTCCCGAGGAAGTCGTCAACGGCACCGAGCCTACGGGTGGCATCGCTGGCGCTTCCGGAACATTCAACTTCGGAATCAACAGCGCAGCCAACATGATCTGCTACAACATCACCCTGCACAACTTCCAGGGCGAGTTCGACTCCCCAGCCACAACTGCAACCCACATCCACGAGGCTGCGCGCGGCGCAAGCGGACCACCCAGAATCGCATTCCCCAACCCGGAACCGGTCAATGGAGACGTGGCAGTGCGAAACAGCGCAGGATGCTTGAAGGGACCCTTTACTACCGGCGTCATGGTCGAGGGCAAGGATTCAGGCGAGGGCTTCCACGTCAACATGATTGAGGCAAACCCTGCTGCATTCATGGCAGACACTCACTCCAGTTTGGCGCTGCCTGGTGCGGTTCGTGGCCAACTAGCTTAATGTTGCGCGAATGAAGGGGCGGCTAGGAAGAAGGGCGTTTGGAACTGAAATTGTTCAGACTTGATAGTAGCATTATACCATTTATTCTTAATATATACATTTTTCTGGCATATGGTGTTTGGTGTTGAAATTGGTGATGTTGCGTATGCCTTGGAAATGAGGAAGGGAAAGTGAAACACTATGCTCTTGAAGGATTTGACTACCCAAGAACAACAATGATCAATTCGGGGGGCAAGAAAACACATGGAGAGAAGCGCAGTGACCCGGTAGTATACCTAGTGGAGAATATCAATAAACGGTCATAGCGATCGGTGAAAAGTGTATGGAGCCCGAGATTCGTTTCCACTTGTTTCGAGGTATGTGATGCAGAGTTCGACAGCCTAATTCGAGATGCGTTCTAGAAAGGCCCCAAAGCCCATAATGACCGAAAATCCCGAGCGGTATCCTCTTTTCGCTTCAGACCACGTCAAAAACTGCATTTAATTCTTCCTACAATGACGCCATTGTCAAGATTTTGGCCTGACTAAAAAGGTTCGTATTCCTCTTGCTTACGGGAGTACTAGCCCGACTCGTCTAGCGGTGCAGAAATCCTATGCAGGTGGACACCCAGAGGCAAATGTAACCCAAACTTCCCCCCCCCCC